GGGGAAGATATGGGCGGAGGGGAAGTGGGAGGTGCAGAGAGGGGCGGATCGATAAAGGATAAACTCGAGTTGATTGAGTCTGTAGCGCGTATCTAAGGGACCAATGGATAAATGACAAGGCGCGGATCGTCGGAAAGTAGTCGTGGGGCGTGTTCAGCCACTGATCATAGACTAGGCTAGGAATTTGTCGAAGCCTCGATCGAAGGCTGTCGAGTCAAACGGGAGTTGGGTTGGTGTGGTGTGGCTGGGAAGGAAACAAGAGCATTCCACAACCACGGGCGTTGCTCCTCCGCCCTTCCCAAGTTCGCGCCCAAACCCGCCTGCCCACCGGCATTTCCCCCCTCCAACCAGCCAACCAAGTTCTCTTCCCTTTACCAACTTCCCATCCTTTCTTCATTCAATCACTAACTCTGCTACCACCACCATCACCACCACCACCACCACCACCACCACCACAATTACCATTGAATAATCCAACTGTCACCTCCAAAATTAACACTACCCCGACTATCACGTATATCACCCATTCTTTCGCTCCCATCCGATCCTATCTGTCCAGTTTCGACTGGCTTGGTTACTCGCGTTGGAGAAGCAGTCGGCTTCCCGGTCGTCGCGCGTTTTCCTCCCTTTGTCTCCCTTGTATTGCTTGCACCACGGCTTGGAACGGACCTTGCACAGCACCCATCCTTTGCGACTCTCTTGGAATCAATTACATCACGATTCAGCGATCGTTCTCTGTTGGCTTGGAGCTGGGATTGTTTGAGGATATATATCGTCACCTAGGATACACACATCTCACCCAAAATGGCGACAACACCACCGCCGCCTTCCAGGCCACGGATTCCTCCCACCCCCCGACATGGTGCCAAATATGATCACTATGAGCCTTATTCTACGCGTTATTCGTCCAGACTTGCCAGTCAACGTGCTTCCAGAGAGTCTCAGACCACGCCACCGCCTAGTTTTCCGCCTGCGCGCGCAAGCTCAAAGCTTCCAAAGAAGCACGACGCCCGGGAATCAGCGACACTATCACCACCAGGCTCTGTCCAAAGTTCCCCTCGGAAGCAAAAGGCGGGCCGGCTCACTGGAACACATTCACTACCACACTCCACTCTAGATGACTCCGACCCTTTCAACACCGAGCCTTCCCACACTCGTCCCCCACAATTTCTTCGACCCACACTCACTGAAGGGATGCTGCCCACACCGGCAAAAACGCCACGGAAGAAGGCAGTCGCAGATGTTGGGAATACCGCCAGAGTTCTCTTTCCTCCGCCTCCCAGTTCCAGCTCACGGAAGAAGCCCAAGAAACATACTGGGTTTTCGCTAGATAGCTTCACTGAGGATTTCGGCCAAAGCGGCACGGAGATCAAGATCTACACTGATTCTCGCGATCGTGTCCCAGACTTGGATAAGAGGGATGGAAACCCGTTCTACAAGAAGCCCAGTAGTACCACAGGCACTCGCACTTCCCGACGCAAAGAGATGATCCGTGATAAGGAAGTTGAGGAGTCAGTTAGGCGTGAAGATGGCATGGTCTACGTATTGTAAGTCCTACTTGCTTTCTATTATATCTGGCATGTTCTAACTCTATTTCGCAGCCGTGGCAAGAAAATGTTCCGCAAGTTCACCGATGACATTGACAGCTGCGGCGAGGACGAAGACGATGATGACCTGGGCTTGCTGGCAGCTCGTCCAGATCTTATCGATGAATCTGTGACCGCGAAGCTTCGACCTCTCACTCGCTCGTCAATCAAACCTCGCGTGCTCTTCCGCTCTGCGGCTTCTGATGCACAGCAGGATGGCACGGGCGAAGCGGACGAAGAAGCAGCTACAGATATTGAGGATCATCTACTTGACGTTGAGGCTGAAGAGACAGACAATACCGACCTCGATCTCGACATGCTGCAGCGCTGTGTCAATCCTCTCCAAACTACCGGAGCTTCCCCTTCATCTCCTGGTGGCACAGAACGTTCCCTGCGCCCTCGGATTAAGCGAGATAGCAAAGAGAAGAGCGAAACCCCGTCTACCTTGGGCTCCGAAACCAAGAAGAAGCGCGTTACTCCCTTCGACGGCTGGCTTCGAAGCAAGCAAGCTCCCCCTGTGGTCGGTACCAAGGCGAAGAAGCGTGACGCAGACGCTGCTGCAAGTCCTGGCCCCGTTCCGAAGAAGACCCGCAGCAATCGCGCAACTACGTCGATATCATGATGACAAGCCTGGGGTGACCGACATGATACCACTGAGGGATGAAGCTCAACTTTTATCGATCTTACCAACTCAAGCAAAGGAGTCATACGGTGTTTTCCGACTTTCAATTTCCCGTTTCTGATCTTTACCTCAATGCGTGTTCTAGCGTTCTAGGCTCTTTCTCTCTTTCTTTACTTCGATCGATGCATTCGACTATCCTGCCGATGTCTGGCTCACACAACACGTACTAAACTCACATGATTACGAGACCGACACACGCGATTGGGAAGGATAGTAGTTCTATGGGATGCGGGTTAAAGCGGGATGGAACTGGCTGGGTTTGGCGAAGCACATATGGTCGGCGTTGTTTTCCTTTCTATCTTCTCTTCTCGAATCTCTTCTTGCAATTGGACCGAATCATTGATCGCTACTACGATGTCTATGATTCCCCCACCCCTGCTTTTTCGGGCTCTCCTGCTCACTCTCACTCACCTTAGGTAGATTATTAGTTTAGTTTGAGGGACGTGCTAGGTATCGTCTTGGTCTCCTCTTGAATATCCATTTAAATTGAATACCAAACGATGAACATGTCTCCAATTCTCCACCGTCTTCGTATTTCGTGGTCAAGTATTTCTTCATCCTTCCGATTCTACATGTGATGCAATTCTCGTAAAGCACGGCACGCCGTTCTATAAATGATCCAGAATGATATACACCAAATCCCGATCCAGTGAACGCCCGCCTCCAGATACCATCAAGAAGAAACAAACAGACAGCCACATCAGGCCCTGTTTTTTGCTGCCGCTTTTCCGAAGAAATCACTCATTTTCTTCATCCCGGTGGTATTGACCTTCTTCAAGTCCCTTACGCCTCTGGACTCGCCGGCCTTCTTCTTCTTCTCTTCTTCCTCCTGCCGCCTCTTCTTCTCTGCCCGCGATTCCGCCGCCTCTTCATCCTCAGCACTGCGTTTCCGACTGAAATCCCCCAACGACCGCGCCGCTAGGGCCTCCTTCCTCAATTTCGCAACGAGCTCGAGATGCTCCCGCATGGGCCGGAAGTCCCGCGGCGCGTCCGGGGCAGCCAGCATCTCATCGATCCTGGCCCCCATCTCCTTGGACAGATACGACTCCTTGAGGAAAGTCAACGCGGTCGAGAGGCGCAGCAGCTCCGCCACGCCATCGGGGGTCGATGGTCCTTCGGGGAGCAGTTCTTCCTCTTCTGAAACCGCGGTCGTCGTCGTCGTCGTCGTCGTCGTCGGATCCTCGGCTGCTACCGGGGCCTCCTCCCTTTTGCCGCCTTCGACCTCATTCTCTTTATTCTCCCCATTCGTGCCGCCGTTCGGCACAACTACCTCCACCGTCACAGCGGAGGCCGCGTGGCTCTTCACCCCCATCGTCAACGGCATCGCCAGCTCGCTCCGCACAAACCGCTCCTCCAGACTCGGGGGTAGTTTGCCCCCGTGCACCGCAAGGACCCTCTCCGCTTTCGTCATCAGCTCTATCAGCAGCTTCTTCTCGCTGAAGCGGAACAGCTTCTCGTCGCCGGCTTCGACGGCGTCGCAGATCGCGGCGGCGCGGGCGGTAATGGTCGCGCGGAAGGGCTCGGTGTAGAGGACATGGCGCAGGTGCGGGGCGAGTTCGTCCTGGATCGAGTCTATGATGTCGTCCAGGGGCTGGTAGAGGGTGGCTTTGGCGGTGGTCAGGAGGGGGATGAGGAAGAAGATGAAGTCGAGGGGCGTGGCGAGGTGGATGGATGCGTCTTGCGAGATTAGGGATGGAGGGGCGCGCGGAGCTGGCTCTTGAGGATGGAAGGGTAAGGTGTCAGTGGTGTTGTCGTCGGGCGAGGATGATGATGACGTTGAGGTGTTCGGCGGGTGTAGAGTTGTGGAATTGTTGCGCGCAAAGAGAATGCTTCGTGCGGCGGGCGCCGTGGAGGTGATGGTGGTGAATTCGTAGAGGCCCTGTTGCGGGCAGAAGAAGTAGCGGGTGGGCTCGCTGGTTTGGGGATTGGGGAGGGTGAGAAAGCGGGCTTTGGGGCTGGCTGTGGAGGGGAGGATGAAGGTTTTGCTGGGCTTGGTTGGAATTAGAGGCTGTTTGGGTTGTTGTTCAAACTCTGATGGAGGAGACGCTGACGCCAATTGCGGTGGTGGCTCCGAGGGAGCGGAGGATCGAGTGCGCGGCATTGCGAGGGTTGTGTTGGTTTTTGTGGGGTGTTGTGGGGGGGGGATGGGGCGTGAATGAGTTATTTAAGCAGCGACAAGCGGTAGCATTGCGGATATCACAGAATTGCTTTTAATGTTGGAAGAGGAGTACTGTCCCTTGTACTTTGTGGATTGAAGTCAATTGAAGTGCAGCCCGGAAGTGCTCAACGCGTCTTCTCGGCCAGGCCAGCCGACGCGCCGACGCGCGAACCAATCAGAAAGAAACTCACAATCCGCCCGCGGCGGTTAAAGTTAAGTTCCAAGTTAACGTGAGAGGAGTTGAAATGCAGTGGCAGAATGTCATTGCTTCGTTCATTCGATCCTTCCCTTCCCTTCCCTTGCGTTTCATCTCATGCATGTCCTCGATTAGTCGCCTCCCATTGCAGCCCCCTTCGTCTCTTCTTTGTTGTTGCCAGTGGAGATGGATCGTGGTTGAGGGAGTTCTACACCTGCAGCACACCTGTATTTTTATTCGACTCGATACTACGCGACAATCACATCTGCTCCGATCGTCTTTCCCCCGCATCCCTTCATTCGCCTGAACATGGCAAGCTGTCGCCAACGAGGCTAACAACTGCTGAATATCCTCTTTGCTTCTTACTGCATACCGCCCCTTCCGTCAATTGCTCTTCTCGAATTTATATAGCTAGCGTGTGCTAATGACCAGCAGTGAGTATTCTCTCTGCCCGCGTTCCGTGACATAGTGCTAATGTTCAATTGCGCCGCAGTGGTCGATATTCCATGGCCGCCGAAATCACCGCGGGAGGCTCTGTTGAGTAGTCCGAGTGGCCGCAAACGCCTTGAAGAACTGCAGCGTCGTCAGGGAAACCCCGGCTCGCCATTGAAGCGCTCCGTCACCACCCCCGATTTACGATCCAAGGCAGCACAGCTCCTGAGCGACGGCTTGGACGAGGACGAGGACGAGGACGAGGATGAGGAGACATTGAAGCTGAAATTGGCCGCCATTGAGGCTCGCCTCAAACTGAAACAGCTTCAGAAGAGTCGTGCAAAGTCTGGGACTCCAGCACACGCCGCACACGACGAAGACAGTGCTCTTGTCCGACCTTCGTCGGCAGTGAGCTACTCATCGCAGTCACAGGCCCACGTCTCTAGAAGCAGAACGGAACGGAGGATTCAACACGATGTCTCTCTGGACGACGTGCAAGTTCCGCTCTCTCCAACACGACGGCCCACGGCCCCGGCGGATCCAGTATCCCCGCGGAGATTTATCTTGGGTATCGATAAAGGTCTCAAATCCAGGGACGTGTCTCTGAAGCGGCCTCCAAGTTCGAGAAGCACTGGCCAGTCGCTTGCGACGAATGGCAATAGGACATCGACGGGTCGCGACGGCTATGTCTCACACTCGAACAAGCTTCTACAGACAGTCACTGCGGATCACGAATTCGGCCGCCCGAAGAGCTTCAGCGAGCGCATGGCCGAGAGTCGCTCGGAGGAAAAGGCCCGGAAGGATCGAGTTGAACGGGCTGAACGCATTCAAGCCAGCCGGAGCACGGCGTTTCACATTGACAAAAATGAAGTCGAGGCGTTGAAAGCGGCTGCGGAAGCGCGGAAGGACGCAACACCACGGTCACCCGTACGCAGCAGGCAGGCCGAAAGCTTCAGTCGGGAAGACGTCCTGCGGTCATATGGCAAGCTCAAGCCATCCTTGAAACGGAGCCAGACCCTCCCAAGTGTACGGCCTCAGGACAGCGATGCGGAATGCAAGGAGTCAACACCGTACTTGCACAGGCGAAACCTCAAGTCGGAATCTCAAGCACACGCCTCTTTGCTTGGGAGCTCCCAGCACAGCGCTACAGATGATTCTCAGGGCGAGAACGGTGGTGATTCATCGAAATTTGAAGCATTCTCTGGCTTGCACTTGTCGAATCGGATTCTGCCCCACTCATTTGTCACGCGGACGCTCAAGGACAAGAAGGTTCTCCGTATCCCGGATCTTCTTCGAACCATCAAAGGACCGAACTTCGAACTACCGGAAGACATCGACACAGACTACGTGGTTTTCGGTATTGTAGCCTCCAAGTCTGAGCCCAGACAGGTCAAATCGCAGAAGAATGTCTCGCAGAAGGAGGCCGACCCCTTCGACGACGGCCTCAACAACACCAACTCGTACATGGTTATCACCCTGACCGATCTCAAATGGACTATAGATCTTTTCCTTTTCGAGACTGCCTTCCCGCGATACTACCGGCTCTCTGAGGGGATTCTAGTTGCAATTCTGAACCCTACGATTATGCCACCACCCAAAAACAAGTTAGATACCAACAAATTCAGCCTCGCCATCTCCTCCTCCGATGACACCGTTCTCGAGGTCGGGTACGCTCAAGACTTGGGATTCTGCAAAGCCACCAGAAAAGATGGCAAGACGTGTCATGCATGGGTCGATGGACGCAAGACTGAATTCTGTGATTTTCACGTTGATCTGCAAGTCCGCAAAACCCAAGCTGGGCGGATGGGGGTGAACAATGGACCAGGCATGTACGGGCCCGGCGGACGTTCTGGCTCCCGTACTGGTTACTTCGCGGGCGGCGGCCATGACGGTGTGAAACGACCTGGGCCACGAAACGGACTCAAACCGGCTGGCGCTCAATATGACAGCGGATCGCAGTCCGTATTCTATGTCGCACCTGCGCCGAAGACTTTCAATAGAGGTGGCCTAGGTAGTGGAAATGTTCACCGTCACCAGCATTCCCTGGGCCAGTCTGCAGCTAGCCTGATCGACGCTGACACGGACGACCCTTTCATTGCCGCAGGCCGAATGGGGCGAGGGAGAGACAGCAAAGAGGAGCGGTTCCGCAAACGCCTTGCAGATAAGCAACGCGAGAAAGATATCACTGAAAGGCTCATTACACGAACCAGCGGCGTAGGGGCAGAGTACCTCCGTGCTCGAGGTAATGACCATGTTGTTCCTGCTTCGCGTCTCAGCGACGCCTCCAAAAGCCAGTCGCGCAAGGCCGGTGACAAGGACTCAGCAGTTGCCACCCTTAACCTTGCCAGTCTGCGCAAAGCAGCAGCCGTCAATCTCAGCCCTTTGAAACGCGCACACGACGGCGGTGGCAGCGACAGATCGCACGGCAGCAGTGCAGTCAAGAAAACTCGCTTCATCACCTCTCATGGTATCAAGGAAGCTGGGAGGGACAGTTTGGGTGGGAAATTTGAAATGGTATCCACGAAAGACCATGATGACGACGATGAATTGGACATCATCTGAACGAATTGAATCAGAACCAAGAGAGAAAAACAGGAACCCTATACATTGTCAACACGAGGAAAAGAATCAGAACGAGATAATAATTTTAGATACCCCATTGACCGATTCCAGATACATGTTGATAAGTGTTGTAATTGTGTCATTATTTGAGTAGCATTGTCTATGGCTCGCTATGAAGGAGTCTTAGTACTAGAGCTCGTTCTCCTCTGGCCGCCATAAGAACCCTTCTCTCGAAGCTTGGCGCTCAGGCTACAATCAACCTCTTTCTACTTATGTAATGTCATGGCAATGGATTAAGAGGGCGTAGTTTGATACTCAGCGAGGTCTCAAAGTGGCTGTTCAGGTGGCTTGTTATATTTTTTTCACCCTAGATATTATTTATGATCAGGCAGTAGTAAGCCCCATGCTATGAATATATTCCATGGGTGCTAGTCTATTGTTGCGACTACATTGGTATATATCTTGCTGCGTATGGTAACTTAGCCAGAAACTATAATGTCATCACTGGAAGACCATATGCAGGTTACAGAGATGGAATTGTGCAGTACCATAGCCGATTGATGGTCGGAAGTATACTTCCATAATCGGCTTGGGTGGGCATACTAACACACGGCGTGTGTACATTCCATAAGCATTTAAATATATTGAAGAGATGAAAGCAAAACGAACACTGGACTGTATATACATAGAGCGCAGGAGACTGCAAGGAACCTTCGTCAGCATGCTAACTATAACTTGCAACCTGCGTGTGAAGATGTCTTGGGCGTCGATGCATGCTGCGGGTGACGATGGCCGAAGGAGATTAAACATCCACTGCATGCTTCAAGACGGAAAGGGAATCCACAGTAGATCAATAAGCTCTTGACACTGTGACCATTATCCGGAGGAGGAGGAGATGTAATGTGCTGCCGTCGTCACCACCATCATATCGTGCAGCCATCTCGATCTCGGGGTTTCCTACCATGGTCATAGCGACCTAGTACAGTACTTGCATTCATGTGACATTGCAAGCTCGACCGCCGACAGGATTGCCACTCCTGTCAAAAGTTGACTCACTGGGACACAGGTATCGGAGCAACTTCTTGCTTTCCCTGACCGACAGGATGTGCAGTGCGGAACCCCAGTCATCCAAATCAGAGAGGAAACTGAACCAACAGTCCAACAAAACTCATAGAGGGATTTACTACCAAGCTTGCTCTTACTTCCAACTGCCTCTCTGGGTTGAAGAAGGAGGCCGATGATCGGAGCCCCGGGCCGGTTCGAAACCAATGAGGAGCCCCAGATTATGGGCTGGTGCCGGCACTAAACCCCAAACTGGTTAAGAGGCAAAGAAGGACGATCCCCGACTTAGGCAAGTCTGAGTCTTTCTCGCTCTCTTCCCTTGCCTTAAGGTTACGCTTCCTCTTCCCTCTCTCTTTTCCCCGTTTTTCCATTCTTCGTTGTGAGCTTCGTCTCTCAATCTCATTTCCACCCGGTTTGGCACTCATCCGCCGTCAAGATGATGCCCCTGAGACCGTCAAAAAGCGCCCTGCGCACTCTGCATTATCAGAGATACCTCACCTCTGGCCGAAGGACTTTTACCACGGCCGCTGCCTCGCCCCACCGCTTCGCTGCGACACAGAAAAGATCCCAGAGCACTGCTGCCGCCACGGCCTCGTATGTGTTGCTCCCCCCATCACCCCCAGTCACAATCGGGGTACCTGCTGCCAGTCCTATCGCAATACTAATTCACTCCTCAATTGCGCAGGAATTCGAGACCCATCCCTAGCCCGGCGTTCAACCAAGAACCTCACCGCAATGAAGTTTCGCCACTCCAAAACCGCCAGGTTCCCGAATTGGACGACTCGTACGTTATATCCAGCGTTCCCCCTTCACTGCGATCATGGCGCTGACCGGGCCCTTTGTGCCCACACAGTTTCGTCGGTCTCAGCGGCGGTGAGATTTTCCACGAGATGATGCTGCGTCTTGGCGTCAAGCACGTTTGTGAGTCATGCTTTCTTTCCCCTTCTCGGTGAAGGTATCAGGATTGACCCACTGTCGATAGTCGGCTACCCTGGAGGTGCCATTCTCCCCGTTTTCGATGCCATTTACAACTCCAAGCACTTCGACTTCATCCTCCCCAAACATGAGCAGGGCGCTGGTCACATGGCCGAGGGTTATGCCCGTGCCTCTGGCAAGCCCGGTGTCGTCCTCGTTACTTCCGGTCCCGGTGCCACCAACGTGATTACCCCGATGCAGGACGCTCTCTCGGACGGAACTCCCATGGTTGTCTTCTGTGGTCAGGTCCCGACTAGCCTGATCGGAACCGACTCTTTCCAGGAAGCTGACGTGATCGGAATCTCCCGCGCTTGCACCAAGTGGAACGTGATGGTCAAGTCTGTTGCCGAACTCCCTCGCCGTATCCAGGAAGCCTTCGAAATCGCCACCAGTGGCCGCCCCGGACCTGTCCTCGTCGACCTGCCCAAGGATATCACCGCCGGCATCCTCCGCAAGTCTATTCCCATGAACAGCACCCTTCCGGCTCTGCCCAGCGCTGCCAGCGTGGCTGCCCGCGATGTGAGCATGCAGCAGCTCAAGGGCACCATCGGTCGCGTCGCTCGCCTGGTCAACATGGCCAAGAAGCCCGTCCTGTACGTTGGTCAGGGTCTGCTCGCTCGCCCGGATGGCCCGGAGGTTTTGAAGGAGCTGGCTGACAAGGCCTGCATTCCTGTCACTACTACTCTTCAGGGTCTGGGTGGATTCGACGAATTGGACCCCAAGGCCCTGCACATGCTGGGTATGCACGGTTCGGCTTATGCCAACATGGCCATGCAGGAGGCTGATTTGATCATCGCCATTGGTGCTCGTTTCGATGACCGTGTCACTGGTAACATTTCCAAGTTCGCTCCTCAGGCCAAGCTGGCCGCCGCTGAGAACCGCGGTGGTATCGTGCACTTCGAAATCATGCCCAAGAACATCAACAAGGTGGTTCAGGCCAACGAAGCTGTTGAGGGTGACTGTGCGGACAACATCCGCCTCCTCCTTCCCCAGATCGAAGCTGTGCCCGAGCGCAAGGAGTGGTTCGAGCAGATTAACGATTGGAAGGCTCGGTTCCCCTTCTCCTTGTACGAGAAGCAGACCGAAGAGGGCCCGATCAAGCCCCAGGCTGTGATCGAGAAGCTCAGTGACCTTACTGCTCACATGAAGGACAAGACTGTCATCACGACCGGTGTTGGTCAGCATCAGATGTGGGCTGCCCAGCACTTCCGCTGGCGCCAGCCTCGTACCATGATCACCTCTGGCGGTCTCGGTACTATGGGCTACGGTCTTCCCGCCGCTATCGGTGCTAAGGTCGCTCGCCCCGACGCTCTCGTCGTTGACATTGACGGTGATGCTTCTTTCAACATGACCCTGACTGAGCTGTCTACCGCCAACCAGTTCAACATCGGTGTCAAGGTCCTGCTCTTGAACAATGATGAGCAGGGTATGGTTACGCAGTGGCAGAACCTGTTCTACGAGGACCGCTACTCCCACACCCACCAGAAGAACCCTAACTTCGTTCCCCTGGCTGAGGCTATGGGTGTTGCCGCTCAGCGTTGCTCCAAGCCCTCTGAGGTCGAGGCCAAGCTCAAGTGGCTGATTGAGCACGATGGCCCCGCTCTCCTGGAGGTGATCACCGACCGCAAGGTGCCTGTCTTGCCTATGGTGCCGGCCGGCTGTGCTCTGCACGAGTTCCTTGTTTATGACGAAGGTATGTCATCTTTTTCCGATGAATGTGATTACAAATGCTGATATCCATGACTTTACAGCCAAGGAGAAGGACCGAAAGGCCCTCATGCGCAAGCGTGGTGCTCCCATGTAAGCGAGGAGCTGATTCTAGCGAAGCGTTACGACGATATTAGTTTTCTTCTTGCAAGGGTGCCCTCGACCCATGATCTGTTGATATCCACGGCGTTTCTGGCGGGTTCTAAAAACGCTCGCGGGTGCCATTCTGCGCCCACCCGACACTGATCACCCGACTCGCTTGGAGCCGGGGACGGTGAACGACAGTAAAGCAGCATCGTTCACTGGGCGTGATCGAGTATTCTGCGGAGCGTGCAGTTGCTCCTCTGCGGGGCTCGATGACCGCCAAAGTCATCCTTTTCTTTTCTGGGCATGTTCTCAATCGCATTATGGTTTGCCAGAAAAAGTTGCCTCGTTAGTTTTTGTGGGACCTCTCTTGTATATAATCCTTTTGCTGCTGTAATCTTTATGACTTGGAAATACCATGGAGGCATTGAAAAGGAATTTGTTTCGGGGTGAAGATCAAATCGAGAGAAGTAATGGGCTCTAGGTCAGTAAGCCCTGGTGGTGGTGTTCTACGTAGTACAGTCCAGATAGGGTATTTTCGGGAGTCATGTCACGTGCAGACAGTTGGGAGGGCCATGTCCATTTTTGGCAATCTTCACAGCCGCGGTTCTTGTAGCTCTTGCTATTAGATAGGGCTGGCTGCTTGTCCGCCTCTTGTCTTCACCATTCTTTAGTTCTTCGCCCCTCCCCCACCGCAAATTTCCAATTTATTTTTCCACACTTCGCACTATGCTGCGCGCATTTACTTAACGTACACATATCCTCACTCTACCTCACATACATAGTCCCGATACCTCACCATGGCCTCTGCTTCAGGTTTTCCATCCGTTGGCAGGGTTCAACTATCCGACGCTGGTATGACATCAACCCACCGGACCGAAAGCACGACGACGACGAACGAGTCAACAAATACGAGTAGCAACACCAGTACGACTACCGGCAACAGCGAAGCCGTCGACGAAACGGTGCTCCTCACCTGCCAATCTTCCCCCAACACCGAGACCGTCACGACCGAACCACCGACAGCGGACAAGTCCACCCTGGTCGACCGATCATCATCATCACCACCCACCACGCCCGACGACGAACCGCGCAAATGCTGGATTTGCTACGCAGACGAGACCGAAGACACGCCGCTCAACTCGGAGTGGCGCTCGCCGTGCCCGTGCGCCCTGACCGCGCACGAAGCCTGCCTCCTCGACTGGCTGGCGGACATGGAGAACCCGCGGTCGCGCAAACGCAATGGCCTCAGCGCGAAGATGGTCTGCCCGCAGTGCAAGACGGAAATCGTCGTGGCGCGGCCGCGCAGCTACATCGTGGATCTCGTGCGGCTGTGCGAGCGGGTGGCCGGCCGGCTCGTGCTCCCGGGCATGGTGTTCACCCTGGCCGGCACCGTGTGGGCGGGCTGCTGCGTGCACGGCGTCTACTCGATGTACTTTGTGTTCGGCACCGAGGAGGCCCGGCATCTGCTGGAGGAATCGATCGATGGCTCGTGGAACTCCGGCCTGAATTTGGGTCTGCCCCTGATCCCCATGTGTCTGGTCCTGACCCGCACGCGGTACTCGGAGGGCTTGCTCGCCGCGATCCCCTTCCTGTTGCTGGTCACGAATCAGCCGGTCATCGAGCCGGCCGCTACGGACATCTGGCCGCCCACGCCGGCGGCGACCTTCGCAGCGCTGCCGTATGTCAAGCGGCTGTATTCGCTGCTGTATAACCGGATGTTCGGGAAGCTGGAGAAGAAGTGGATCATGGAGGTGCAGCCGCGGCAGGCGGATGTCGACGAGCTCGATGACAATGCGCCGCCGAACCATCCGGAGCCGATTCCCGACGAAGCGGAACCGGTCGATGATGATGATGATAACGGGCGGGTGCTGATGGAGATCGACTTCGAGTTGCAGGTGGGTATGAGAGGGGACGAGGACGGGGCCCAGGGACTGTTTGAGTTCAACGGTGGACAAGGTGGTGATGGACAGCAGCAACAGGGTGCGCAGAACAACGCTGGCGGCGCAGGAGGACAAGGGCTGGGCCTTGGCCGGCGGAATGATTTAGTGCATGAGACGACGAACCTGGCCGATCTGGTTCTCGGGGCTCTGGCTTTCCCGGCTATCTCCGCGTCGATGGGAGGGTTGCTCAGACATATGCTGCCGAGCTCGTGGACAACGCCTTCCACGGCCGGTCGACCGGGCCTGTTGCAGACGCGCTGGGGCCGCAGCGTCGTTGGAGGCTGTGTGTTTGTGCTCCTGAAGGATGCCTTGGTGCTCTACTGCCGGTGGAAGTTGGCGCAGACCCATCGTCGTCGGAAGGTGCTCAACTACGACCGATCCAAGAAGCATCTCCGGGCGAGCAGCAGGGCAAACAACAGCACTTAGCACTGAGCACTTAGCACGCACGCACACACGCACAACTGTCTTGGGATTTGCACTTTATGAGGCGTTTTTGTTCTGGGGAATGGGATGATTATTTATGATACACTTTTTCGTTTCGTTTGCGACTCCGACTCTCCGACTCTGCGACTACGTTCTTTGGACAAAAAGGCGGGCACATATTTTTCCAATGATGCACTTAGCAACCAGCAATTTAGCACTTAAATGCGATTGACATTCTGTCACATTATGCCTAAAACTGTAATTCGTTATACCTCCCCAGTCTATTGCACATAGTTACAGTGCATATACATCGATGGTAACTAACTAGAGCCCCCGGGCGGGGCGCTTAATCATCCACCTAAGCGCGCGGCTGGCCCGCACCGCACGGCACCCCCAAACTTTCCGCCGCCGGGCGAGATACTTTCTTTCCCCGAAACAATCTGCCCTTCACTCCCTCAACATCGCGGCGAAGTATCACGGCACCACCCTGCCTCCGCCACGCCACGCAAGATGCGCACCACACTCTCCCCCGTTCTCGCCTCGCTGGCGAACGTCTTCCGCATCCCCTTGTCGCAGACTGCCTCCCGCCCGGCCGCCGCCGCCGCCCTCAGCCGGTTCAATGGCAACAGCAACAGCAACAGCCTCAGCAACAACAGCAACAGCAGCAGACAATTCTCGACGACGAGCGCAATGGCCAAGCGCAAGAACGCCGGTCCCGCGCGGGACAAGCGAATCAGTACGTCCCCTGCCGTTCATCAGTGACCACCACAAACCAATACACCATACACCATACACCATACCTTACAAGCACAAGCACAACCTCAATCCTCCCCCCAAACTCCCAAACATCCCCAGCCCAGCACAGCAAAAACACCCCTCCCCATCAATCCAGACTACCAGAATATATCGTCCCGGGGGAGAACCCCCGGACCCCCCTTCCTTTCAGCTCCCCAGCCAAACCCCAAGCTAATAAACAATAGCAATGATCCGCTACTTCCTCCACCACCCCCTCACTCCGCGCCCCCTCCGCTTCAGCCGCACCCGGTTCCTGCGGCACTGGACGATCCACCGCGCGTGGCACCTGTACCAGGCGCAGCGGCGGCGGGCCGAGACGCTGGAGCTGGAGCGCCAGTGGCACGCGATGCGCGCCGCGTGCGAGGAGCTGCGCACCGGCGCCGGCGACGGCGGCAAGCTGTTCCGGAAGAGCATGATCAAGACGGGCATCTTCAAGGATCTATTCCCCATCGAGTACGCGCGCCTGCAGACCGAGGGCCCGTCGCGGGAGGGGTGGAATCATGAGTGGAAGGCTTTGAAAAAATAATTTCCTCAAATCTTAGGGGGGGATTGGGGGTTCTATCGGGGGTGGGATTCGGGGGTGTAGAGTACAGTACATCTATCCTGGGGTTAAGACTGCTTTTTTTTTGTTGTGTATATTAGTACATACTTGCTTCTGTCATATCTGGTATTTCTTGTTCACTTCATGGGTACAGTAGTCTGCATTCGCAGGGTAAACTCCATACAACTACTCATATTTACTGCCTCGAAGATCAAATAGCTTAACGCTAGGCACTGACACGCCCTAGCACTGACATGCAAAAGGAATGGACTCGGAGTAAACTCGTCAAGGAAAGTAATGTCAGTCGACTCCAAGGGTATGAAACAGAAGTCAAGACTGCAACAAACAACAAATAGGAAGGCCACCCGAACGCCGAAAATGCAAAGTTGATCAACCAACAGCCACCACACACTCCCAGTCCCTCACATACTGTCCACTTTTAGGTTTCACCCCCAGTCAACCGCCCCCACAATATGCACATGCCATGCTCATGGCTCTCCGAACGGTGGAAAATGGCTCAACAAAGATGCAACAACACACAAAAGCGAAGAATCAATCTCGGTCGTGCGGACGGGCTGGCATGCATGCAATATGTTCGCTGAAACAAGGACATCCTTCCCCCAAACATACAATACGAGAAAAAAGATCCGTGATTTTTTTTCATAGAAAAAAATCATAGCACAATGCAGCATGAGCTCTTGCGCTTGTCGAACGTCAGCAGAGCGGCCCGGGTGGCGGCCTCGAACACGTCGTCGACCCCCTCCCCCGTCAAGGAGGAGCACTCCAAGTACTTGCGGGCGCCGATCTGGGTGCCGATGTCGCTTCCTTCCTTGGACGTGACGAACTTCAGCGACTTCTTCCGCATCTCCTCGACCGCCAGGGGGTCTTCCCGGAGATCCTTCTTCAACCCGACCAGGATGATGGGCACGCCGGGACATCGTTCGTTCGCCTCTTCGATCCACTGCACCGTAGTAGCCCTAGTCAGCGCTCCAATCTGCTACCCAAGAGAACACAGCCACGAACCTTGTGTTTGACGTTCTCCAAAGAATCAGGCGTATCCACCGAAAAGCCGATCAAAATCACATGCGCCTTCGAGTAGGCCAGCGGACGCAGCCGTTCGTAGTCTTCCTGACCAGCAGTATCCCACAGAGCCAATTGAACCGACCGACCGTCCACGCGGCAATCTGTTACGTAGTTCTCGAAGACCGTTGGCACCTAGGTTGGATCATGCGCCGGTCAGGAGGTTGTTGCAGACACAAAGAGCGACGGGGAGAGACAATACATACATAATGCTGCATGAGACAAATCAGTCAGTGACATCATCCTTTGAAAGGTTCGCGGTTTAGGAGGGGGGGAGAACAACAACATACCGTTGGAAAGTAGCCCAGCGTGAAGACGCTGAGCAAACTGGTTTTCCCACAAGCACCATCCCCGATAATCACCAGCTTTCTGTCCTAGTCGTTAGAAACTCAGGCGAACCTCGAATGTCAGGGTGCAGCGTGGTAACTTCATGGTGGCCGCCAACGCAGAATGGGGATGGGACATGGGCGGATCCCGGGGGATCTCCAGGCACCACCCGTTTCGGGCGGAGGTGAGAGGGGGGAAAGAGAGGAAGAGGGGAGGGAGGGGAGGGGAGGCAGGTTCAAGTAAGGTCGATCGAAATAGATTGAAGACGACTCTGCCGCACGTACCTTCGCATCACATTGTCATTTTGTTGTTGTTGTTGCGCCATGATTTCCAAAGAGAAAAAAAAGTGGGAATCTTTAAAGTCGATCCCCTGGACGGACGGAGTTGCAGGCGAGGAATGGACGGGATGAGCAACGGGAAATCAATGCGAGGGCGCGCTGACGAGCCCTGGCGCGGGAACCCGGAACGGAACAAAACCCCCCCAGGCAGGCAGCAAGCTGGAGGCAATGACGGAGTGATCGGAGGCCGTGAACTAAATTTCGGTAGTTCAGATGTGTAAGTGTAAGTGTAAGATGGCGAATGTTTCGTTCAAGATTGATTGGGGAGGGGGGAAGTAAAATGCAGTGGATGGGAGGGGAAAGAAAGTGGAATCAGATTGGTCAATGTCCCCTCCCCCTAAGTATGAGATAAAATGGTGGAGGAAGAGGAAACGGTCATTATATTGGGAAGGGAAGATGTAGAAGAGGAGAGAGGAGGAGGAAGAAGAAGAAGAAGAAGAAGAAGAAGAGAACGAGGAGGACGTAAGAGTAAGTAAGAGGAGCAAGAATAGGTAGACAACAGAGCAACCGGAGCAGAGCAAAGCAAAGCAAAGCAGAGAGAGTACGGAGTAGACAAGACAGACAATCAAACAGACATCAAGATTGGTTCTGGAAGGCGGTCGCCCATCCAAATGAGGCTGACGGGTAAGAAACCGTGGACGATTGTAATGATTGTAAATCCCATGTAATCTCACAAGTAACTCACCTTCTCGGGCCCGAATACGGTCACGGAAGCAAACTCGAATTATGACTGGTTGAGGAAAGTATGTAGTAATGAATCCCACGGGTGAGAAAACGAGGTAGTATATATGGACTGATTGATTGATTGATTACCACTATCCCATCAGCTACTAGTCACTCTTCTTCTTGTCAAGTGGAAATCCATCGAATGCCTCAAAAGAAAATTCCAGCCCGGCCGAAGCACCAGCACCAGCACTCACCCCAAATGGACTGGACCACTTTCTCCCTCCACGCCCCTCCTCCCCCCTCTCATACTCCGTGGTAATCAAACCTCTGAATGGAAGGAGGAGATCGACCTAGTGGGATGGCACAGCTGAAGAATCGTCACCGCACGACCATTTGTTACTAAGGTTAGAGATTTGTCTCAGACAGTGCAGGCCAGAAATGGCCGATAATCATGGCTACTATTATCAGTGCCGCCCGGATGCAAAAAAAAAAAAAAAAAAAAGGAGCCAGCCCAGAGCAGGGGCTTCCGCAATTGACCATTGGATGATCGTGCAGCTCGATATTTATAGGTTACTCTATTGGTCGCTAGGGAGGGAGAACCGATGTCTCCGTGCTAAAGAAGGAGGAAAAGAAAAAAATAAACACGGACATTTCCGTGGTGCTTATGCAGCACCAGCAACACAACTAACTGGCAATCCGTCAATCACGACCACAACAGCTCGGGAGAGCTTGAGAGGCGGTTCGTGATCAGAGACATGTGACTCCACTGTTCCCCTGTCGGACAATCCCCCTCACTCCGAACCCTGTACTGTACGCTGTATGTAGTTTATACAGTAACTACAGTGTCATCGTCATCTCGATCCCCTCGTCAGCCTAAGCAGCCAGCTAAACGACCCAGTCTCAATCCTGTGCATGCCTCCTTCCCTCGCCCATGAAGGTCAACTGCGGACCGTGACATTCTTGACCTGACTTGACATCTTGCGGCCCACAAAACCCGAATTTGGTGCCTGGCCTGTCAATTCATAGTTTCAGACTGTAACTGATTTACCTAATGGGCGCCGGAAAGGGCGGCGGGCTGGATGTTTCCATGGACACCGCAGCACCATCGCATCTTTCTCCTTACAAATCTCGGGACTTCCCAAGTTAATCAACTTATACGATATGCTTAAATCACTGGCCAACTAACAATCAACGCTGCTACCGACTCCAATGAGAAGAGAGATACCAAGCAAACCAAATCCCGCTAATTCCATGCCCATGACTCATTGGTTACCGATGAAAACACACCACTGCAAACCTACAACTACTCGCTCAGAGCTCCACCGCATCAACGTCGTAAACGAGGTGTTTCTGGCTCAAGCCCCACGACTCCAACCCCAGAATACGATACAGGCTCAAACTAGCCCACATAACGTTTTCTTTCAGCCACAACGCCCAAGGGTTCATGGCTCTCCGGCCTTGCCCATTTCTGGCCGCCAGTTGATAGATCTCGTTGACCCGCGGTCGACGGATTGCTTCGTATCGGGCAAACGCGTCGTCCAAGCTCCAGTCCTGCTCTCGCAGTACCCGTGAGAGCAAGAATACATCTTCCAATGCCATGGATACTCCTTGCCCTGCGTGAGGCTGCATTGCATGCGCTGCGTCCCCTAGCAGGATTGTCCGAGATGTATACCATTTCCCACCCAGCGGGAGTCGGAAGACTGGATAGAATCCGATAAACTTCATGCGGTCCACCAACTCAGCCAGGATCCCTCGCCATTCGCCTCGAGCTGGCTTCGACACTGCTCTGATTGTGGCCTTGAACATCTCCATCTCTTGTTGACGTCGCTCTTCCCACCCGTCCCGCTCGTTACCGGACTCAGAATATGGAATGGGCGTCTCCCGCGAGAACAGCCAGAAAAGCTGGTCCCCAGACGCACTACACGGAAATGTCGCCATAAACCCCACGGTGGTGGGAATGATGTTGGCCGACGTTTTAAGCTTCTCCGGTAGACCAGCCGTCGAGATAATCGAACCGCTACCCGCAATTCCGGAGTATTCGGGCTTCATGGGCGGGTCCACGTGCAACCGTCTCACGCTGGAATGGATGCCATCACATCCAATCAGTATGTCGGCTGTCTCGGTCGAGCCGTCGGAGAAGGTTACCGTCACGCTGGATGCATCCTCCGTGATCGAGGTCAGTCGTTTGTCGAAACGGACCGGAATCTGCTCCGCATGGACGCCGTCCAATAACACGCTCTGTAGGTCTCGCCGGAGAATGCGCAGATATCCAAAGCCGGTCCTTTCCGCCGCCCAGGCTGAGATATCAGTGCTACCGATGCTGCCGTTTTGCAGTGATTGCAGATGATATCTGTCAACGGAAGAGCCGCGGGCAAGGAGGGCGTCGTGCAGACCCAATCGATGAAGTAGACGCAAGCCGTTGGCAAATATGCCTATGGCCCCACCAATCGTAGTTGGCTCAGGTCGTAGCTCGTATACTGTAACATGGATTTTGTTCTCTCGATGCAATTTGAGTGCAGCAGCAAGGCCAGCCGGGCCCGCGCCGATGATTATGGCCTAGACAGATATATGTTAGTAGCACTCACTAACACCGTGTGGAGTATCACTCACCTTCTTGATTACAGGCATGATCATACGGTGATTTGTTTGGTATGTATCGAACGCAATCCAGGCGAGGTTGTTGTCTGATTTTATAGACAGGAGGGCGTAGTGCTCCGCGGGGGTCCCGCGGAGGGCGACGCCCTAAAGGGGTTAGCTCTTACAGTACCTACATTGCCAGTGTCCGGGGTGGGAAGCAAGCCTGGAGATCTTACCCGCAGTTCAATTCTTTACGCTTGAAGTACCGAGTGTACCAGTGCATGGATCTTTCTGCTGAACATGCTGACATGACTAAGATACAATGACATCTACATCATTTATGAGAGCCCCTGATTTACAAGTCATGTCGCTACGAGACAATGAATAGTGACCGAGGCTTCGCAACGGCCCATCTAGGAATAATCCCCGCAGATCTGTCCATAATAGCTAACTTCACGCTCGAACAAGCACTCCGGAACTGCTGTGGCTCCTTCGAAAACAACTCCAAGTATAGATAAGAACCTACTAGGTACTATTCTTATCTCTAACTGCTTGTACGGCTTGAGCGACTCTTAATTCGCCGAAACATGCAGCGTCTCCAACATGACTGACCCACCACGACACTGTTATCGTGAAATCAACAGCGTCCTCAAGTTACTGTGCTGCAATGATCTTATCAGCCATCTCGGGAAGCGTCTCTGCCATGACATCCATATCTCCAAACAACTCAGTGATCGGCTCCCTCTCCCAAATAGAACAATAAGCGGATTTGTAACTGGTAAGACGTGTTAGCAGCCTCAGCATCCAGCTGTGATGCTGCACCACTCACCCCGCACAGCGAGCCGCCGAAACGTCCCACATATGACCGGCAGCGAACCATGGCCGTCCATCCTGTGAGAGTTGCTCGAGGAGCGGCTGGTACGCTTGCAGATCAGGCTTTCCTATCCCCTGGGTATCGCAGGACAGCAGATTCTCTGCGGGCCATTCGAGACCGGCTTCTGCGAAGTAGCCCCCCACTCTCGCCAGGTCCCCAGCTGTGAAGGCCCATACCGTGTACCCGGCATCGCGCAGCTTGGTGATGCATTCTACTGCGCCCGGTCGCAATCCAAGTTTGGCATATCTTTCCATGATGAACTCGAGGTCCTTCTCCGTGGCGAAGCTTCGGGGCTCGGAGATGCCTGCCATGTGCAGCATGCGCCAGAACAGCAGCTCAAAGCAGGTCGCAAAGGGTTTATACTGGCCACTGATGCTAAGATAGGTGTATTCTCGCTCTGCCACTTCGATCCAGGTGTACCCCAGCAGCGTCGGCTTGATGCCCTCCGCTCGGAGTCGGTCGCCCATCTGCTCGTCGATCGCGTCGAATAGGACATCATAAGACACTAGAGTGCCCACGATGTCGAAGACCACGTTCTTGCTGGTAGACATAGTGATGCTTCTGGACCGGAGAATTATGTTTGTTGGTTGGGATGTAAGGTCTTTGGCTGGGATCAGATGAGTATTCATATATGCTCGAATGTGGTCGTGACTAGCCTTGGACTCCTCACCACCCCACTCTTGCTCTACTTGGCCTGACGCAACCAAGTGAGGAGAAGCCAGGATGTGAGATCCGAAGGCCTATGACTGGCTGTCTGCGCCGTGCATTGTAACTCAGCTATCGTCCCAGTCTTATCTTGTTGTATATGGCTTCACGCCGAATTGATTAGATATGGGTGCACAACGGCCAATGGTATCTCTACGGTGCTATCTACAGCAGGAGATATAAGATGTCGCAGGGCATTTAAAGTGACTCATTCTCATCAAACTGGCAGCAAACGAGACGCCAACAGCCATGACGACAGAAAAAACGGCCGCAGAACCACGCAATGTGGAGTTCACCGCTGATCTCGAGCAACGCGATGACTTTGAGAAAGGCACAACAGAGTTTCTGGGAGCCAACGAAGATGTCGGCTATCATCGATCGCTGGGCCGTCGCCAAATCATGATGATGACCTTCGGGGCAGGGATTGGGACTGGCTTGTATGCCCGATTTTCCTCCTATTGTTCTAAGAAAACAAGTCTCATAATGTGTCAGATGGGTCGGTACAGGCACAGCCCTCAAGTATGGTGAGATGGCCCCCAGCCCTGTGCACGACCTACGGACCTGACCATCAAATGTAGCGGGTCCGGGTGGTATTGCCATTGCCTATACTATTACTGCGTGAGTCCACAACAAACGATGCTGCCGCGTTCACGTCCAAACCACTCACCGCCAACAGGATGGTCGTTTACCTGCAGTACATCTCGGTTGGAGAGATGACAACATACAAGCCTGTCCATGGCGGATTTATCCGACAATGCATCGAGTACGTGGAGCCTGCGTTTGGATTTGCAGTGGGGATCAACTTCTGGTTTTCTGTAAGCCTTCAACACCATGGACATAACCATCGATACGCCTAACCATGAATAGTGGGTGATCTGTATCCCCGCTGAGATCACCGCGGCAGTGTCCGTGCTCGAGTTTTGGCCGCAGACCCAGGCCGTTCCCCTGGCAGCATACATCACGATTTTCCTGGTCGTTATTGCCTTGGCCAACTCATTCGGGGTTCGGCTCTACGGCCACGTCGAGTATATCATGTCGTTTGTCAAATGTCTAGCCATCGTGGTCATGATCTTCTTTATGATCATCATGACCTCCGGTGGGATTCCAGCCACGCATGGTGCGATTGAATTCCGCTACTGGCGGAGTCCCGGTGCTCTCAACAATGGGATCAAGGGGATTTCCAAGGCCTTTGTGCAAGCCCTCTTCAGCTTTGGCGGCGGAGAACATATCGCTGTTATTGCCGGCGAGGCACGGGACCCTCGCCGGACCATCAAGAAAACTGTCTATCCGGTCTTTTGGCGCATGTTCGCCTTCTTCGTCGTCAACATCTGGCTCATGGGCATGTGCGTGCCGTACAATGACGAGGACCTGGTCAACGGCAGCGGCACACTCGGAAGTCCCTTTGTTATTGCCATCGAGCGTGCAGGTGTGATGTGGCTGGCTCATATCATCAACGGCTTCATCTTTCTGACGGTGATCAGCTGTGGGATCACCAGCACGTATATCGCCAGCCGAAGTCTGACAGCTTTGTCGGACATGAAGATCATCCATGGCGTGTTTGGACGGAAAGACTCTGCCGGGCGACCATATGTATCACTGGCCCTCAGCACCGCCCTCGGAGGAGGCTTGGCCTACCTGAACTGCAATGATACGGGTGCTGTGGTATACAGTTGGTTTTCATCATTGGTGCGAAACCTGCATGGCCATGAACGTGCTTGTTTTCGACTTCTTTGAACTAACATCGTCCAGGTGTCAGTCTCAACCCTGTTCCAATGGTCCAGCATCTTCATCTCGCACATCCAATTCCGACGAGGCCTCGCGGCGCAGGGCATCAGCACCCAGTCGCTACCCTTCCGAGCGCCCGCAGCCCCCTACCTGCAGTACTTCGCGCTGGTGATTGTTCTCTTCATTGCAGGTTGCGAGTTCTATCTGGCCTGCTTCCCCTTTGGTGAGAAGGGATCCGCCAAGTCCTGGTTTTCCACGTACATTGCTGCGCCGTTGTTCTTTATGGACTATTTCGGTTACAAGGTAGGCCATCCCAGCCGACCGCCAGCCATACAATGTGGTTGTTAATCCTTCCTAGATTTACTTTCGTTCAAAGCTTGTCCAGCCGACTGAGATGGACTTCACGGCGGCTCGGGCTTTCGATGAAGAAGACCGGGCTAGGGCTGCGGTGGGGTATGAGCGGGATCATCATGAAGACACAGGGATGATGCAGCAGATCAAGAACTTGGTCTTTGGTTAGCTTGCTTTCCACTGAAAGTTTTCTGACTGCAGGGAACTTTGAATAATTGTACGTGTTAGATAACATATTGCGTGTTAGTGTGAGCCAAATGTAGATGGCACATCGGATGAATGAATGAAAGCATTTGAACCACTCTGTCCTACTGTGAGTCAATTGAAGTAAAGTTGGCAAATCTACCATCCCAAAGGCAGGGGAACTGCGAGCTAGGTTGAGATGCTGCATGGTCAGCCCACGCCGAGGGAGGAAAGGGGTGTATGGCAGCCTGTTCATGTGCCTTGAATGACAGAACCACTCCAGCAGCACCAGCCCCTCTCTTTCTCGGCATGTTTCCCGCGAATACACGCCGAGCTAGTAGTCGCCTAAGCAAGGTGCTAAGACCGGATCTGCTGGCGGGCGTAAGATTCAGGCGGTCTGTGGGGTGGGCAGAAGTTGTGAGACCAGATAGAGCGAGCCCGCTTGGGGGAAATCGCAGGTTCGCCTGGGTCAGTCTAGAATAGAAAGCAGGATGATTTGATGTTGGAAGTAGGTTGTTCAAACGTTCTATGTAGGGAGGAGAAGAGTCAGGCTGCCAGGCGGCGAGGCAGCGAGACTCGCTTGCGGCGGCTAATCCAGTTGCGGCGAGTCGGCGAGCGGCAGGGCAGCCATCCAGAGGCCAACGTTTGTTCCGGGACCACATCAATCAATTCAATCTTGCGCGTATCGCCGATGTGCCCTCACTCCTCCTACGCTACCACGCTACTCCTCCTCCATGACTACCTTATTACTTCTCCTCTCTTTGACGTACTGACGTACTTTCGTACTTTCCGCCTGCTGATCCCCGCTTTCGCTCCTGTCTGTTTCAATCGCCTATATCGCGACCGCCGGTGCGCGCTTCCTTCCCCTCCCAGTTGACGACTCCTCGTGCGGCCCGGGTCCTTTCCACCTTTCCACCCCTCTCCGCCCTGGCTCCCCGTTTGTCGTTGTCCGTTGTCCGACCCTACCCAATTCCAATTCTCCAACCCATTCACCTTGCGCGCCTCTTCTCTCCACATCCCAACTGTCGCGTCCATCAACACACTCCTCCCCAACCGGGCTCTACTCCATTCTCTGCCTTACTATAACCTTCTTTCTCTCGTCAACTATCGCCCGACGACTTTCCGGTGAGCTTCGTGTGCTCCCTTCCTCTTTCTCCGTTTCCTGCCTTCCTGCGCTGGCGGACCCTTTCGCTGACTTTTCACCCCCCGCCTCCGGGAATCGTCGAAACAGCATGGTGACTAGCTAGGGAAACCATTCCAAACCCTGAATCTACGCCTCCTCTCCTCCCTCACTGTGCCCCGTCGGCGTCAGAGCACAACCTAAGCAACCCACCTCACCATGGCACCGCCGCAACCGCTTCGATCGAGTTCCGGTCCCACTATGTCCGAGTCGGCATCCACGACCACCTCTGCACACGCCGCGAATGGCGAAGCCCATGCGCCCTCCGACCCTCGTCAACTCTCCCCCTCAGACTTGAAGCCCGTGTCAGTAAATCGCAAAAAGCAGAAACGCAGGCAGAAGCAGGCAGCCCGACTTGCCGCGGAGCGTCAGCTTGGCAACGAACACGGCTCCGCGCAGGACGGATCCAGCCCGACCAACCCAGATGGCCAGCTGTCCGATGAACATGAGATCGACGAACCGGCTCCGAACGGCGACGTCTACCACGAGGACGACGAGTACGACCAACAACACGACCGGGCGCAGTCGCATTCTCTTGGAAACTCGGTGAACGGACAAGATGGCGACGGTCAGCAGCCCGCGGCGGCGGCGGCAACAGCAACCCGGAAGTCGAAGAAGAAGAAAGGCAAGAAAAGCCGGGCGGGCTCGCAGGCGCATGGCGACGAAAGTTCCACCCCGCTGTCGACCCCATCGATCTCCCTTTCGCATCCTCTCCCTCCGCCGCTACCCCCGCACCTCGGATCGCACAACATCCTGAAGTCAACCAAAGACCGCAGTATCTGGAACACCTCCACGCAGGAAGAACGCGAGAACATAAAGACCTTCTGGCTGGAGTTGGGCGAGGAGGAACGGCGACAGCTGGTCAAGGTGGAGAAGGACGCGGTGCTGAAGAAGATGAAGGAGCAGCAGAAACACTCGTGCAGCTGCACGGTGTGCGGCAGAAAACGGACGGCCATTGAAGAGGAGTTGGAAGTGCTCTACGACGCTTACTACGAGGAGCTGGAACAGTACGCCAACAACAACCAAGGGTCGTTCGAAAAGGGCGGCCCAATGATCCCGCCCCCTCGGCTATACCACTCTCCTTTACGGTCGCCCGGTCAACATACGCGCACTCAAGGCCAATACCACCCTTCCCGGGGCCGGATCCATGAGCTACCGGAGGATGACGAAGATTTGGAAGAGGAGGAGTACGACGAGGATGACGAGGACGAGGAACCGTACAGCGATGACGAATACGAAGACGAAGAAACCCGTGCGGCTCGCGCGGATTTTTTCGCCTTTGGGAATAGTCTGACTGTTAAAGGTAAGGACAACCACGAGCGCTTGGCATCTGTTTGGGTTGTCGCTGATTTGATTGCGATCCTTTTCTAGACGGAATCCTTACGGTTGCAGACGATCTGCTGAAGAACGATGGGAAGCATTTCATTGACATGATGGAACAACTGGCCGAGCGTCGAATGCAGCGGGAAGAGGACACACAGTATGGCATCGCGGCAGCACATCAAACCCTCCATAGCGGTCACAATCACGGGCCCCTGGATGATGAAGACTATGACGACGAAGAGGATGAAGATTACGATAGTCAAGAAGAGGAAGATTACGAGGAAGATGAAATGGTCTGCTCCGGGCATTGGCTGGGTATTGATGCCGTAAAAGCTGACAGTTGCCTGCAGGATGCGATGACGGAAGAGCAACGCATGGAGGAGGGCCGGCGAATGTTCCAGATATTTGCCGCGCGCATGTTCGAGCAGCGCGTGCTGACGGCCTACCGGGAAAAGGTCGCGGAACAGCGTCAGCAGAAACTGATTGAGGAGCTGATGGAGGAGGAATCGCGGAATGAGCAACGAAACGCCAAGAAGGCTCGCGAGGCAGAGAAGCGCAAGGAGAGGAAGCGGCTGCAGAAGCTGGCCAAGGAGGAGGAAAAGGCACGCAGAGAGGCCGAGAAGGCTGCGGAGGAGGCGGCTGCCAAGGCGGAGCAGGAGAAGAAGCTCGAGGAACAGCGAAAGAAACGTGAGGAGCAACGGAAGAAGCGCGAGGCGGAGCGGAAGGCCCAGGAAGCGGAACGTGCCCGCAAAGAGGCCGAAAAGCAACGACGACTGCGCGAGGAACGTGAACGACAAGCTGAGGCGGAACGCAAGCAGCGGGAGCAGAAGGAGCAAGAGAAGAAACGGCGCGAGGAAGCACGGCAAAAGGAACGCGAGGAGCGCGAACTGCGGGAGAAGCTAGTCAAGGAGGAACGAGAGCGCAAGGTTCGGGAGGAGCAACTTCGGAACGTCGCAGCCAGCGACGCCCAGCACGCCAAACGCACCTCGCACCCCGGGCTGATGCCTCTCTCTGCAAACGTGAACCACTCTCAAGGTCTGGGTCCGGGTCCGTACCAGTCGCCGCACTTCTCAACGACTGCCCCAGTAGTCCCCCAGGCGCCTACTCCTTCAAGGCCCCGGCAAACGTCCCAGCAGGGCTCCCACAGCTCGTCGCCTCGGTCCCAGCCGGCTAGCACCGAACCATCACAGGTCTCCATTTCCCCTCGTTCGATGGCACCGTCTCAGTCGTCCGGAGCCTCGAGCGTTACGTCCAAGCAAGGCCATGGACCGCAGCCTATGCTTCATCATCCTCAACCGTCCACCCCCTTGTCACCTCTAGGATCTTTAGGTCGATCCCATCCGCCCGGGTTCTCGCCGTCCCATCCGCCCGGCTTGGGTCTGGTTTCTAGAGCTCCTATCGGCCATGAGTTACCTACCTATCCGCCGCACTCAGGACCGCTTCTCAATCAGCTGCGAGGATTCCCTGCGCCCAATGGAATCCCGATTCCTATTGGGATGAATGGCTCTCGCCCTATCCCCCCTGGACGAGGATTCCCACTCGATCCCGGGCACGGACTGCCATTCCATAGTCCACAGCCCATGGCTAGTGCATTCTCTGGGCAGGCGAGTGGACTGTCGCATGCTCACTCCCGACAGCCTTCCAGCTCGTTCGAGCGATCACCTCTTGAAGCGCATGCCCAACCGTCTCCTATCACCCGCCCCAGCCCGATCAAACGCCCTTCCAGCACGCAACAAGACCCGAACAACTCCCGTCGCAGTCAGCATGATGTGGACGATCTGAGTGCGCAGCTCGGCAGCAGTGCGCTCCTGGACGATACGGACATTCCGTTCGCGTCGCACCTGTCCCAGTCACTTCCAGGGGCAACACTTCCGGGTTCCCTGCCCGGGCCAACTCGAGCTAGCTTTGCGGCCCCGTCGCTGTTCCCAGACCCTCTTAGTACGTATTCTAGTGGGTTGATGTAATTCGCATATGCTAATTGTTGCCACAGTTGCCAAGCACAGTGCTTTCCCGGTCAGCCCTAGCCTCGGGGGTACGTGGGGGTCACAAATACCTTTTGGCACCTCGCCCTTCCCCGGGGGTCCAACATGGGGAACTGGACCTGGTATGTTTCGAAGAATGTGTGCGTGTCGTGAGTGTATGCTGACATGATTGCTAGGGAGTGGATGGTCGAGTAACGCGTTCGGGCCCGCCGTGCATCATCGCGCGCACACCTCTCGACCCGTGACGATCCGACTGCTGGTCATTCAAGCCTGCAAACAGCTCAACATGATGAGTCCCTCCAAGGGCGCAGGCGGCTACCACGACGTGAACGTCGTTCTGCGGCAAGTGGAGCAGCTTCAATCCCCGACCGAGACCGCGATCTCGTTGAAGGAGATCCTCGACATCTGCGACACGGAAGGCAACACGCAAAACGGCGGCGGGTCGTTCTCGATCAAGAGCGACGAGACGGGGGAGTATGTCAAATTCGAACCGGACACCAACAGTGCCGCCTCAGGCCACAGGGGTAGCATTGTCCCCGGCGAGATCGGCAGTCCCATCCCCAGCAGTAGTGTCCCGGCCGCAGCATTCAGTGGGACGGGGACGGGGCCGGGCACCGGGATTGGGATTGGGACGAATAACCCTCCCTCAGTGCTACGGCAATATACCTCCCCTCCGACCGGGACCGGGTTCTAGGCGTTTTGTGTTTTCTGTTCGGGACTTTCTTGTCGTGCTGTATGTTTGTGGGCAAGACAAGACGAAAGGCGTTTTTGTTGTGTGTGTGTATGTGTGTGTGTGTGTGTTTTCGAACATGTCCGATACTCCGTACTGTACCTCATTTGCATCATCCATCCTCATGACTTGTTCACTGGATCACGTAAAGCGTCGTGTGTTTCAAACCTGTCATGATTTTTTTTTTTCTGTGGTTCCAAACCTTCTTCTGTCTTACTTTATCCAGACACACACACTTTACCTGGTTCTTCGTCACGGTGGACTAAATCCCTTCCCATCAAACCCAACCCTGTGCCGTGCCATTGTCTTATCAGATGAGATCATATCACATCCTCTCTCTCCCTCTTCCTCTCCCTCTTCCTCTCCCTCTCCCTCTCCCTCTTCCGGTCCCATTCCCATTGCGGCTCCCGTCCAATGGGACGTGACAAACCAAACCCCCCCAAACCATTAATGACCCATTAATGAATAAACCTCTTGTCCGAGTGCGATTGGAAATCCGATCTGATTTTAAGACCTTGATCCTGTATGTGTCTGTGTGTGCTGTATGTATGGGGATGGGATTGGGCTTTTGTGTGTGGTTGGTTGGTTGTATGCTGAGCAGGCGTGGGATACGGTGGGTGAGATGCGGCTGTGCCGTGTATGCTGCGCCGTGTAGTATACTGCATGCATACTGGGAGGTGAGGTTCTGTGCTGTGGGGGCTGTGGTATGGGATGCATTTGGGGAATTCAGTCCAGCTTGCTTGCTTGCTTGCTTGTTTGCTTGCTTCCTGGCCTATTTTGTTTGGATTGCGGGGTAGTTGTTTGGGGGATTGAGGGGAGGTATGTCTTATATAGGTCTGTAGGAAGGTTGGTCTGTAGGTTGGTCTGTAGGTTGACCTGTAGGAAGGTAGCTAGCTAGCTAGCTAACGATGGGTAGCCTTCCGCTATGGGTGGACAATAGAGGTGTCAGTTTCGAGGGATAGATCCATACGCCGTGCCTGGTCCCCTGACTCCCTTCGCTACCTGTCAAGCGAGGTAAGAGATAGGAGGTAGGATGTCCCCTGCTAGTTGATTCTCGGCGGCTTCTAGGATGGAGATCGAGAGAAGATATATGTAGCACAGTGCAGGACAAAGATGATGGATTTGTAGGAGAGTACATTCCCAGCACCAGGGTAATCGATTCTGTTCTGGTCGTTGATGATGTTGACATGGACATGACGGTAATGATACACGCAATCGAAGAAGAGCCCCCCGTGGTCTCAACCATAAAACCAATTCAAATTACGAAACCGGGAATCTCCCAGGCGATAGAGAATCTTGTAGACGAAGAAAGTAGACACAGGATGCTAAGAAGAAGAAAAAAAAAAAGAAAAAAGAAAAAAAAGGTTCGAGTAAGATAGGATTGTATCACCGAAAAAAAAAGTCGGTGGTTTAAAGTTGAATCAAGGCTTTGAATCAGAATAAAATATGCGCGTCTCTCATTCATACAGGTCATCACTGTCTGTCCGCCCTACTGCCTTGGTTCCGTGACTACGCCCTCGTAATCCCGCGAACGGATGTATTCCAATGTGCGTTGGAAGTGGCGCTTGGGGCCCTCGAGGCTGGGGTTGGGCTCGTCCTTGTCGGTCTGGAGGTTGGAGTGGATGAGCTCGATCAGACCGTTCAGGTACTTGGTCGTCACGGTTTCGTTCTGCTGGTCGAAATAGTACACGTAACGGTTCAGGATCTCGACGAAGAGTTCCACGGACACGGCCGTGTCCATGCAGGCGTCGGCGACGCGAAGGGCCCGTTGCAGGCATTCGAGGACGCGCTTGCCGTCGCGGTAGAGCTGTATTACTCTCAGTTAGTTGGTTCGATAATGAAATGGAACAGGAGTCAGCGCAGGCAAACGTACGTTCTTCGGGTCCTCCTCGCCGCGTTGCGGGTTCTCCACCACCCACCAGAGGTGGCTGGCCAAATATACCGCGCGACACTGATCGGGCTTCTTGAGCAGCTTGCTGCCGTGGAGCGCCGCCTTGGTGATGAGCGTGTCGTAGTTCTCCTTCGAGAATCCCCGCGTGCCGTGCAGCGCACCGGCAATGATGCAGACGGCCTGGAACTGAGCGCGGGAGTCGCTGATGGAGTCCTCGTAGATCGTGAACGCCTGGGCAAAGAACTCGTAGCTGAACTCCTCGAAGCCCGTCTGGTCGGCCACCTCACCGCACATCACAAACAGCCGCAGCGCGAGGTCGGCGCATCCGGGGTTCACGCGTTGGTAGAGGTTGTTGACGCACTGGTGCATGAAGCGGTAGAGCGCCGAAGACTGCGACTGCCAGTTGTCATCGTAGTGCTCGCGAGCCTTGAGTTTACGCGCTAGGCGTATCGAAGAGGTGATAAGAGCCGGTGTGGTGTAGCGGATGCGCTCGTTGCCGTCGAGGTAAGCTTTTCGGGTCGCTTGAAGCAGCTGCAAGATGCATTAGGGCACTGTTAGGAGAAGAGAGGAAACGAGGGACAAACCTTCAGCTGCGTGTCGTTGTCGTCTGCCTTGATCAGATGTACCAATCTCGCAAGCCACCCTTGCTCCTCGATGGTCTCCTCCGTCTCACCTCGTCGCTGAGACCCAGGGTAGCCCATGGACTGCTGGGTCCCCTCCTTGATCAAGACTCGTAAGGCCTGCAGAACACGGTCGAGGTTCTCTGTGGTGGTAATCGAGGTTCCGTTCTTGAGGAGGCTGCGAGCGATCTCACCCGCGACCGATCGCCGCGTGGGGTAAGACTGGATGGTCAGAAGTGGGATGTAATGAGGCAAGGCCAAGGCCGTGAAGATCGAAACGTAAGAGCGGAGAGGGGCGGTGAGAAGTTGCAGGAGATTTTGTTGCGTAGGAGCGGAGTGCAGGTCGGCGTGGTCGGTATAAGCGGCGGTTTCTTTCGTCGCGAAGTCAAGGATCTGGTCGACGTATTCCAAGTGGTCGGGGTAGGTGTTGAGCGCGAGGTTGGCTAGCGAAAGAAGCAGCGCCATGGTGTCTTGGATAGGGAGGCCGCGGCTCTTGATCAAGTTGACCACTTGATCATAGAAAATGGCATACAGCTTGACATCGGCAGGGATGGCCTCCGGTGCCTTTGCATCGCCATTAGCTGGTTTCTGCTCTCCTTCCTCCGCCGTTTCGCTGTCCTTCTTGGTCTGCTCGACACCATTCTCCTGGGCTGCATCTGCGTCGGTCGCCGGCTCCTCCGCCTTCGTCTCTTTCTCTTCGGACACCTTGAGATTCTCGAGCAACTTGGTAACAGCCTCTTCCTCCTTCAACTTCCGTGCCTCCGGGTCCGCAGAAGCCTCTCTCTCGCGGGCAGCATAACTCGACAGACGGTCCATCAAACCGATCACGATCTTCTTCAAGTCCACATGCGGGTTGAGCCGCGAGATTGCCGAGAGCAAGAGGTCCAAGGTGTGCAGATGGAACTCGTCCGGGAAGACCTTGGTGATCACTTCCAGCAGATACTCCTGCGCCAAGACATCCCGACACTGCACGACCTGTTCCAGCAGTGCCTGCAGGATCCCGGACTTGTAGCCCTCGAGATCGACCAGCTGACTGAGGCGCACCACGTTGCTGCCGACCAGCAGCTCCAGCTCGCGGCGCTCCTGCATGCGCTTCTCGCGCTCGCGGGACGGGCCCTGGTGCTGCAGCCGCACCCACAGCTTGTTCATCTCCACGAAGTTGGTCAGGACGAAGTTGATCGAGTCCTGCAGGTTACCCTCGGGCCCGTCGCCGGTACTCGTTGGCAGGTGGTCCCGCGCCTGGCCGGACAGGTAGTACCGCAGGAACAGGCCGCGGATGGGGTGCTGCACGCCGCGGCTCATCTCCATCATGTCCTTCATGATCTCCTTGACGGGGGCGTCCTCCACGGACATGTACACCGTCCCGACGGTGATCATGAGATAGAGGCGTGGGATGATGTTGCCGGCGTATTGAACGAGCTCGTACAGGTCGGCCAGGTGGTTGACCGGATGGTTCTCTTTCAGGTATACGGAGAGGTGTCGCAGGGCGTCGAAGACCGCCATATATAACTCGTAGTATTGCTTGGGGCCTAGACTAGGGGTGCGGAGCTCGGAAACTAATGTCGACCTTGTAGAGGAAAAAAAAAAGATTAGAAATGAGGTCGCTGGTTGTCTTCTTGTGTGTGCTGCGCTGTGCTTTGGTTTTCGCATGTCCAATTGGTGTTCCCATTGCTGCCTGGGGAGGAGGGGAGCTCACCCGCATTTCAGCGCATCCATTAATTTGCCGGGGGTCTCTAGACATTTCCGCATCATCTGCGACTGTTGACGCACCACGCCCAATGCCTCCTCGAGGAGACGAGTCTGGTCTTCGGGGGGTGCTACCGGGGTAGCCATGTTTGTTGTTCTGTGTGGATGGGGGAGGCGTGAGGGAAGGAGGGGGGAGAGTCGAGTTGATCTTCAGACAGTCGGAGCGGTAAACACCTGGCCGGAAAGGGGGAGGGGAGGGCCGGAGCAAGGGTTTCAATGTCGGAGATAGTGGGTTCGTTAGATGCGCGAAGGTGAGTACACGAGATTAGACGGCTCCTGGTCGATAGACAGAAGAATCGAGGGTGGATATGAGCCAAAAGCCGAGGGAGGTGAATGCGAATGCGGACATGCGATCAGGACTGGACTGGGAGACTGTCCGGGACAGTAAGTCAGTAAATGAATGGGCTGGGCTCGGGTTATGTAAACGAACCCGCCCGGCGGGATCGTACGTCACGGGGGCACGAGGCAAGCTAACCGCTCTGGGCTTATCATTACTATCATTAATCCGATCAATGCACTCTTCTACTCAATCTAGGCAATGATCATGAAGAGACCAAGTCCATTCTATTGACCCCAATGGAACTCAAACTATCTATCTACCAGCGCATGAATGTACTGCTCCACCCCACATCTAAAAAAATGCATGTGACAGAAAGAACTAAGTACAGTACAGTAGTAATTATCAAGTCCCCGCCAAAACACATACCCATAAAACCATAACAGCCGCAACGCCCCAGATATGCCAATCCTTATAAAGAACGATCGTTATGCCAGTCATGACACATAAAACCCGGGACCATATACCCATAAATTCAAAAAGAACGCTAGCTTGCCGTGTACCGTGTATCGTAGTGATCGCATTGGATCGCACCAGTCGTGAAAAAAAACCATATACTTATTGAGAGAAAGAGCCAAGAAGGAGAGGCATCTCTCAAAGGACTCAGTAGTCACCCGCAGTCACATTCCGAGCGTGCAGAGAGGTGCCGTTCACGCTTCGGGCGAAGGGCTTGGTAGCAGCCTCGGTGGTGTTGAGTGCGCGCTTGGTAGCATCGGACTGCTCCGCGGTGTTGTTGAAGTTCTGAGGGGTGTGCTTGGCGTCGGTGGTGAGTGCACGCCGCGCGAAGGCGGCCGCATGCTCAGGAGCAATATCAACGCGGGCCGGCTGGGTCTCATTGGCGCTGCTGCCGGTGTGCTTGGTGGCTGCTTCGGTGCCGGTGAGTGCGCGCTGGGTCAGAGCCTTGGCGGACATGTCTTCGTCCTTGTGCTCGGCGTGATGGTCTTGCTCATGCTCGGTCCCGTTGTGCTTACCCAAGGAACGGGGCACCGTGTCGTTGCTGCGCTTAGCCACTGTGGTGGAATCCTGGCTGGCAGGGATTTCGGTGAGGGTGGTGTTGGCGTGCTCATGGCGACGGTGGTTGTGCTCTGTGCTGTTGAGTGCCCGCGCCGCAAACTGTGGCCCCGGGTGGGGGATGCCTGTCACCCGAGGACCGACGCTCCAGGAGGAGAAAGGGAAAGGCTCCATTGCTGGTGTGGAGGAAGGATAATCAGTGACGGTCACCGTCACTGGCGGCGAGGGCGTGGCAGTGATTGTCTCGACGGTGGGAGCGGCAGTGCCGGCGACGTCGACAACCTTGTAGGGCAGTTCATTCCTGCGAGCAATGGTTTCGTTTGCTTGGGAATGGAAGACCGGGACTGACTGAGCAGTGAGGGAGAAAGCGAGAAGCAAAGCGGCAGTATACATGTTGGTGTGATGTAGAGGTTTGATGTTGGCTATGGTTGAGGAAATTGAATAGAGGGAGCAAGAGGCACAAAGACGTTTCTGCTTTAGATATCAAAGACCTTGAATGTCTTACACTGGGATCTCAATGACTTGGAATAGAAGAGAGCTAGAAGCCAAAGCTCGAGGGAACCGATTCATTTATCACTTGAATGGAAGCCGTAGAAACACACCCCGATCCACCAGGGCCCAGGAACTGCAGTTGGTAGCCTAAACAACATAGAGAAAATAGAAGAAAAACAAAAGCAAAAAAAAAAAAAAGAAAAAAAAGAAGAAGATCCACCTGGACCCAGAGAATTAGATCTTTATTCCATCATAGACGGCACGCGGGGCCCAGTGGGCGGGAGATTAAAGTGCAGGCTGGCGCATCCTCGTTGCTGTCAAAGGAGGCTGGGAAGTGGGAAATGGAGCCCTCATTGCCAGCCCCGTGGGTTTTGGGCGATTGGCAATTGACCCTGCACCACGTTTAATTCTAGTACGAGTCAGATGAATCTTGGCAGGACACATGCAATTCCAGAGGTCTCTCAGAGTAGTTTTGGCTACACTACAGCCCGAGTTGAACAATTCGATATGCTGGATGCTGGATGCTGGATGCTGGATGCTGTATAGAAAGTGAAGAGCGTTTTTGATGTGGCTGGGGAGTGGGCACGGGCGGCTGTGGCAGATGACGTTGTTATTCGACAGTTGGCGGGCGGTGGGCCGAGGATCTGCCGCGCTCCAGAACGGTTGATCACTTTGTTCACCACCTACATACTGCAGTACGAGCAACAACTCACAGTTACACAATGTTGATCATAGTCCAGATTCCCTCATACCACTATCACCGCCTCTATCGCTCACCCTCTCCTCTACTATGCCGTCTCTCCAGTATCTTCTCTTCTGTAGATCTCATCTCCTACGTCATGAGAAATGAGTACTTCGCTTCTCGGGGTGCGGATCAACCGGGTGATGCGATTGTGTGTTGATATTCTATTCTTGATAGAGGCGGTGTCTTGATCAACACTCTCATCCATCAGGATGTTCCAATCATAACACGGACCCTGACCCACGCATGGCCAGGGACGCCATGCACAGTATACAGAAAGGTTGTCTACCGTACATAGTACATCGGCTACTATGTGATCCTCGTCCAAGGGCACATACCCGCACAAGTAGACGAGCAAATTAGCTTGGTTGAGTGGGTCTGGTGGAAGTACAGCTGTACTCTTGAGGTAGGGCCTTGGTGTAGAGTGTTGTTCTGTTGTTCCATTTATAGCCTGTACCTATCTTGCGTAATATGCAGTTTAGCTCTGCGGGCATGGATTAACATTTGTGGCCATGGTGGCTCAAGCCGTGACGGTAATGGATGCGCGACTCGTCGACCCGCCTGTGGATAGCGGTAGGCGAAGAGTTAACTCCCATGCAAGATTCCGTGTCGTTTGCATGCACGCCCGACATGTGCAGAGCTCGGCTCAGCAGGGTCTACGTAATGCGACCGTCCGGATGAACTGTCCCCACGAGGCGGTGTCCTCCTCGGATCCGAGTGCGGCTCCTCGTCGGTTGACGAAAACCCCTTTTGCGAAAGCCCTTTGCGAAAGGGATGAACTGACTCTCGTGGTGAATTCAAACTCCCTTCAAGACAGAATTAGGTCCTCGACGCGGACCAAGCCACATCCCAAGCCCGCGGCGGCCCATCCGGCACACGCTTGGTTGGGGTTCCACGAAAGCGCGGTAACATGCGTTTCCTCCTCGTAGATCGTGATCATCGCCATCCCGTTGACCAGCTTGCGATCCCCGATCAGGTTGCGCAGCAGGCTGACACTCTCGGCGCGGTATCCGTCGTAGAAGCGACTGACTCCCGTGCCAGTGTCGTGCGGGCCACGCACCCATTCATGCTGGAACCAGTTCTGTTGCCATTGTTTCTCCTTGGAATGCAGCACCCGCCGAAGCGGGTTGGTGGCTTGCACCGTGCCGCCCACGCAGCCAAACAGTACGCTGGGATGCCAGTAGCTGCACGGCGCCAGCGCCGAGATGGGGCTTGGCAGCCGGGCGACTGCGGTCGAGGTGTAGAACCGCCGCACGGCGAGAAGACGGGCGAAATCGTTCTCGTCGCTGGAGAGGAACGACTGCAGCGGCGGGCAGTACGAGAGATGCGTCGAGCCCACCCGCATACGATTCGTATACACCTGGTCCTTGGGCGGGTCGACGACCGACGTAAGCCTGGTGTCGCCGTCCATGGACGTGGTGGCTATCAGATGGGGATACGTCGGGTAGGCTGATGAGATGTTGAGGACCCAGGTGGAGTGGAGTGCTTGGTAAAAGTAAGGGGCGGGACTCGATGACGAGTTCAGAGACGGCGCGATACTCCAGATCGCGACATAGCCGTTGGCACAGCCGACGGCGATATCGCTTGGCGAGAGCCATGTCACACATGTACATACAGTCGATGGCGGCTTCGCCTCGAAGATCGTGGACTGTACCTGGTCTAGGAGGGGGGAGTCAGTATACCGACAACCACCAAAATGATAAGAGCAAAGAACCCACAGAATTCAGCTTTCTTGGTATCCCGGCCGACTTTCACGTCGATGACCCGCACATAACCATCGGTCCAGATGCCCGCCAGAAGCCCCAGGCTCTCGCGCTCGTCCTCGCCGTCTTCGCCTCGAGGACTGCGCGGCATAGGACACCAGGCCAAGCGCCGCAAATCGCCCCAATCCGTACACAGGGCCAAGCGCAAATGTGGCCGGAAGCCTAGATCGATCTTCCGCGCCAGCGTCTCTGATTCTTGCGCCTTGAACGCCCAGATCTGCAGAGCGCAGGGATAGGGCGCCGAGGGTCTGAACGCCGGGGCGGCCTGATCCTTCAGCGGATCGGGAACCTTGGCCTTCTGGTCCGGCAGAATCGGGGCCACGACGGCCAGATACTGCGTCCGCCCCGACTGATTCGGCGCCCAGGCCAGACATTGCACTTTGCTCCCGAAGTTCAGAAGCCATCCCTCGCGGACCTTGTTCCGACCGGACCCAGCCTTGGCTTTACTGGCCCACGCCTCGCCAAAATCGAGCACCGCATGCTGGCCCAGCGTGAACTCCTTCTGATCATCCACCGGCCCGAGGAGAACGGTATGATCCCCGCGCGACCGAGCCAGATACTTCCGGCGCGCGGCCGCCTCCCCGATCTTGGCCAGGCGCTGCCGCTGCCGGAACCGCTCGCGGACCCCGTCGCGATAGTACCAGTCCCAGCCGCGGACGCTCTCCAACCTGAGGTCCTCGGGCTCGACCCCAAACGTCAACCCATACCCGTAGTCGGCGCCCTCCAGCGCCCTCTCCAGCGCCTCGCGCGTCGGAAACGTCGAATCCACCCCGCCACCCCACCGCTCGCGCGCGTAGATCATCGCCAACAGATCGCGGTTGTCCGTCCCGAACATGACCCGCAGATGGACCGCCTTGCCCACATGTTCAAGGGGGTTAAACGAGCCGCGCGAATGCGTCGCATCGCCAGTCAGCAGCAGACTGCCATCCGGATGCCGTCGCTTCGGTGTTCTGGAGTTTGCGGCGGCAGCAGGAGTAGCGAACCCGGCACCACCACCACCGACTTTGCGTGGCTTCCGCCGAAAAGGAGTACCAGTATTCCTTGCAGCACCAACACCTCCTCCAGCTTCGCTGCCATCCTCCTCGTCCTCCTCGACCGCGTCCTCCGCCTCTTCTTCATCCTGAAACTCGTCGTCGTCGTCGTCGTCGTCGTCATTGTCCTCAAAGGTCCCGGCATCCGGCATCTCAAAGTCCTCATCGGAGGATTTATCGTTCACGGCCGCGAACGCGCGTGTACCTTTTGCTTTGCCCTTGTTCTTGTTCTTGCTCCTCTGCTTCTGCGATGCCGCTGCTACCGAGGCGTCGTCATCGTCATGATCATGTTGGTCCTCTTCCCGGTCGTTGTCGTTGTCGTCGTCGTCGCTAACGCCGGCGGCCACGAATGGGTCCTCTATATATTTAGTTCTGACACCGGAGGTGCGATTGGACCGGCGCGCACGGGTCATTATTCTGTGTGTGATGAGGGGGTCGAGTCGAGTTGAATGAAGTAGGTAGGTAGGTAGCTCGGTAGGCAGGTAGGCAGGTAGGTAGTAGCAATGGTAACTCTGCGAGGATTTAATTGTAAGGTCAGGTCAGATCTTCTGAAAGTCCTTTCAGTCGGGTCGTCGCATTGCGGATCCCCGGGCCAAGTCACGGCTAAGTGGGATTTTGCTGTGCCTGGGATGGTCGCCAAGTATGTTATAGCAGTCGGTAAATCATTGCTGGGGGGGTATGTTTCATGATTCGGGGTTCATCAGTTGAAGTGAACGTGAGCTTGTTTTTTTGGGCAGTAGACGAGAAAATATGCGCCGGATGAATCGAGCTCGGCGCGGCGAGCAATGCTGGTTACCCGATTGGGTTAGAGGGCTTGGCGGGGGTTAGCTTGAATATGAGTAGGAGTTGGGGTATCATTCAACATACGTTCTCAGTATAAATTGGGGATATGAGATTTCAGGCATGAGAATTGTCATATGATAAAGGCAGAAATGTAATGAGAGATGTACTGTACCCCGCTATTGCCCGGTCCGTCAACAATTACTGGCTCTACGCCAATGCACTGGATCGCAATCCGAACTGACAGCTCCGACCTTCCACCCGAATCGGGGCTGGAACCCCGCCCTGGCCCTGGCCCTGGCCCTGGCCCTGGCCCAGTGACCGCATCACCACCGGCTCGTCCTCCGTCGATAACGATAAGTTCTCCAACTACTCGTAAGCTCCCCCGTGCGAACCCGTCCTAACCACCAAACAACCCTACAATTCACCGGCCATCAACCAGGCAACGCACACACAATCACGATGTCTTCCCCAAACCACTCACCCCCCGGCATCCTCCACGAATACGTACGTCCACCCTAACCTCTCAACCCCTCCCCCAAAACCTCCCAACCTAACACCGCATGCACCACACAAAGGCCCCCCACCTCGTCGCTTTCGAATTCACCACCCCCACCAACGACCCCAAACCCAACACCCTCCTCTTCATCGGTGGCCTCACCGACGGCCTGCACACGGTGCCCTACGTGCGCACCCTCGCGCAGGCCCTGCCACCAAAAAGCACCTGGAGCGTCTTCAACCTCCTCCTCAGCAGCTCCTACAGCGGCTTCGGCACGGGCGGCCTGGACACGGACGTAGCCGAGATCGCCCAGTGCATCGAGTTCATCCGCACGCGGCTGCCGCACAAGGCCGCCGGCAAGATCGTCCTCATGGGCCACTCGACGGGCAGCCAGGACGTCCTGCACTACCTGCACTCGCAACCTCCAAATCGGCCGGTGGTCGATGGGGCGATCATGCAGGCGCCCGTCTCGGATCGCGAGGCGCTGCTGGTCAAGATCCAGGACGCTGATACCTTTAAGCAGAATGAAGTGCGGGGCGCCTACGAGCAACTCGTGCAGATGGCGCGCTCCGGGCCCGCCACCTTCCTCCTGCCCATGGACCTGCTCGCCCGCGTGGGCCTCCCCGAGAATACGCCGGTCACGGCGCAGCGGTTCTGGAGCTTGGCGAGTCCCGACAGTCCCCAGCGGCCGAGCGCGGATGATCTGTTCAGTTCGGATCTGGGGGATGAGAGTCTCGCGGCGACGTTTGGAAAGGTGGCGGAGAGGGGTCTTCTGAAAGGGAGGTTGATGGTTCTGTTCTCCGGGGCGGACGAGTATCTGCCACCCTGGGTGGATATCCCGGGGTTGATGGGGAGGTGGAGGCAGGCCGTGAATGTTGGGGGCCAAGATCTCTGGGATGATGAGGGGAGTGCAGCCATTGAGGGGGCGAGTCATAATGTGAGTGACGTTGGGCAGGAGGAGCTGGTGCTTCGGGTCAGTCGGTTCTTGGAGAGAATTGAGAAGCAAACCTAGACGCTGTAGAGAGTTATCTGCACCGAGATCTTTCATTCGGCCAAGAGCCAAGGAGGGGAGGAGAAGTTCTAAAAATGTACATACTAGAAGAGGGCAAGAACAACAATGGGGATCTTCACGACAAGAAAAGACAACGGAGGGTATAGTTAGATGGTAGATGGTAAAACAAGTCAAAGTCAATAGCAGCAACCCCCAAAAACAGATTCGGTTCAGAAACAAAGCCCCCACCCTCTCAAAACCGAACAATCCCCCCAAGAAAAGTCCATTTTGTGTGACCTCTGTTCTAAACCTTCAACCACAGAGTCATCACCCCCTTCAAATACTCGACAATTTCATGTCCGCCCAGCTTACTCTCGCCGAACAACCGATCCACGAAGGTGATGGGACACTCGGCGACCTTGAACCCCATGGCCTTGGCGCGGACCATCATCTCCATCTGGAAGCTGTACCCCTTGGACTGGGTGCTGTGGATGACCTTCTCGAGCACGCTCTTCTTGTACAGCCGGAAGGAGCCGGTCAGGTCGCTGACGCCGGGCATGAGCATGACGTCGGCGATGAGGTTGGCCGTGCGCGAGGTGAACTTGCGGAACAGGTCCCAGCCGTAGACGCCGCCGCGGATGTCGCCGCGGGCGGCGTAGCGCGTGCCCGTGACGATATCCGCGTCCGTCTCGCGCTGGATGTCGATCATCGTCGGGATGAACTTCGGGTGGTGGCTGAAGTCCGCGTCCATGATAATCACGTAGTTGCCCGTGCAGAACTGCAAGCCGTGGATGTACGCCGTCCCCAGCCCCAGCTTGCCCGCCCGCGGCTTCAGGATGATGTGCTCCGCGCCCCAGTGCTGCTGCAGCTGCTTGGCCACCTCCAGGGTGCCGTCCGGCGAGCCGTCGTCCACGATGATGACTTCCCAGTCTAGCTTGCTGTTTTTTTTTGGGTCGGGTGGTCAGTTTCGTTTTCGGAGGGATGGGGGGAAAGCAGGATGCGGGAGTGGGAAAGGGAGGTAGGTCGGGGAGAAGAGGGGGGTGGTTTGAGCGAGGTGAAGAAACTCCCCTCAATTTGAGATAACAATGGGAGAAGATGACCAAAGAGAAACTGGGGATTTAAACGCACTTCTCGCGAAACATCCGCTCTAACAACCAACAGATGATGGGGAGGTTCTTCCGCTCATTGTAGGTCGGCAGAATGACCGAGTACTTGTTCGTCGAGGCACCCATGGTTCTGTTTTGTCAATGTTGCCAGTGATTAATCCGCGAATTCGTCAAGGGATTGGATCCGTGCTCCAAGACACAAAGAATAGATAAGATCAGGAGGTAAAAAAAGGAGTGAAGGTCAGCAAAGTGCTGGGGAGAAGGAGAGGAAGAGTGAAAGAGTGAAAGCGCGCGGCGCGGGCTGGACTTGGCGACGAGGACGGACGGACTGACTGGTGCGGGAGATCCGCATTCGCATCCATTCAACGTGGCCAGTCCAGGAGTTGGACTGACGACTGTCCAGTTGTTTCACCTCGGTTCAACTGGCTCACTTACCTTGCCGGTCCTGCGCTGGTCGTTGTTTTACATGACTAGTACGGGGCAACTTAAAGCTGCATACCACTTCATCCCGCAATCGATTATTCCGTACGTTGAAGAAGCAAAAAAGAAGGCAACATCTTGAATTATTTAGGGTACATAAAAAATACATGGCCAATTCGTCTCTCAATGCGCTATGACCCTCAACCTTGACTTATTTCTCCACCTGGTTATACGCGTGATCGTATCGTTGGTCCATCTCCCTGTTATGTTTCTTGACATCTTCCGATGCATTGTCTCCCACTGTTCCATCGACATCGGCATTGGGCGAGTTCTCGCCGTCGGTAATAGTCGGTCTGGCCTTGTTGGATGGTGTAGTCTTGCTGTGGCTCTTGTTTTCGACGCCCGTGCCAGTGCCGTGACCAGTATCCTTGCTGCCACTGTTGCTGCTGCTGCCGGACTGCTGGGACTTCTTCGACGAGCCACCAACGTCTGGGGCGGGAGGGCCTATTGTGACGAAGGCATTAGTTCATTCTATCTCATCAAAGTGCTTTTTTTTTTTCATGATCTTTCAAGGTGAAGCTACTCACCCGGATGTTCGAGGTCTCGGGTAGGCTCGTTGCGGGAGGAATTGGGCTGTTCAGCCTTGGTCTCGCCCTCGCCGCCGTAGGAACTATGAGCGTAGCCGCGCCAGGGCTGGATGGGCTGGGAAGTAAGACGCGATGCTGGTCGGATCAAGGGAGAATAGCTCGCACGAAGCGATAGTCTGCTGCTGCGAAGTATGGAAGCCATGATGCTGGTGTGAGGTGAGAAAACTGGTGACAATCAGGCAAACGTAATAGCGATAGGTGATGTACAGTACAGAATTGCGGTCGTTCAGATATAGATGGAAATTTTAATTAACAGCAATATCTCAGGGACTGCGCTCTTTATTTAGTACTCATTGCAAATGGCTTAGTCGCCCCCGGATGATCAAGTGGTGATCGACTTCGAAGGGGAGGGGGGTTGCAGACGATGACGTTTGCATCCGGTCATCTTTCCAAACCCCAACCATTGCGCAACCACTGTCGCATCGCCCCTGGCTAGTTCGGGTACGTAAGGGCGCAAAAGAATTATGAATGTGAGGTATAACAGCTTGTAGCATAGTCCACGACAAGATTGTTTCGGCTTCGCAGCCCGTGTAAAGCAAACAGTAGATTCAGACCATATTACCAGAACATGTCGAAATGCCAACCAAATTCTCAACGAAAACATACCCATCCTTGAGGCAGGGTCAGAGTAGAAAAACAATGATGAAGAGGATATCCGGTTCCTGGACATACGCAGGCCTTATGAACAGAGATTGAACGGAGTCTCCTGGCCGCCTCATAGCTGTCCTTCCTTGCACCGTTTGACCCCCTTTCCAATATAAACGCCCAAAAAAAAGCCTTCAGAACTATCCATAGCGATGCAGAAGCGGACGACGATTTGTCGGCCGCATTAAAATGAAACAAACAACCACCGGGACAAATAAGACCCAGTTGGAATACATAATATGCACGCCATAAGAGAACAAACTGTATCGGAACATCCTTCATGCCCAAGGTGAAAAAGAGGTGGGTTAACCTTGAGACTAATCAAACATTCGTATGCACGTTAAGAGCTGGATGGAAGCGGCTCCCTCAGTTTTAGTAACGCCAACGCCTTCGGTTCCGCAGATAAACAAGAGCTTCGTTATAGGCTGGCAGCCCAGAGATGCCGGATCGGCTATATCATTCGGTCAATGACACGCAGTAGCAGACGCTCTGGTACTCGGCCTTCGCTGTATAAGTTTGTGTTGAGCCGGTGACTTGGATCGTTGTTGTGGGTGTAGGCTGTAACTCCTTGACCTGGACAGTCTCCTGGGATATGGGACCAACTGACCCGTCATCAAGCACTTGCATCTGTTGACAATAAGGACTAGGGGCACCGGGGTTTTCTCGTTTTTCTTCCATTTTGATCCGGCGGGGATAGTCGGATACTGCATCCCGCTTAGAATTCGTGTTTGTGTTTGAACTGGAACCCGAACCCGAGCTCGAGCTACCTCCCGTGGTTTGAACATAACTCGATGACGTGGCGGTCGCGCTGTATTGGGCATCCTTGGTGGTCTCATTGATGTATAAGAAGAATTCGATTATGGTACTGTTCCACCAGCAGAACCACGGCTTATCTCCTGCTTTGGCTACATCCTTGCGAACAAGCATGGTAGCCAACAGTTCATCCTCAGACAATGAGCGTTTCGATGACGCGTGCGTTGGGAATGAATCTTGAGGCACCACGACCAGCTTGTCGAAGGTGGTCCAAAAGTGCAAAGCGGGCCCGAAACTGGCATCGTTGAGGTCATATGCCATTGAAAGATTCTGTGTCGGGTTGGAAAGAACCGGTGCTTGAGCTCCATAGCTAAGACTTGACGAGTACGTAGTATCTTCAAACGTGATCGAACGTTGGCTATCTGTGCCTCCAACAGCGACAGGGATATCTCCCGAATTCATGCAGGACCATGTAACTCGGTAATCCGACTCCGCGACGCAAAATTTGGACTGGTTCTTCGGAGATGCCGGAATAACGTATTGGCCAGTAGGTAGGGCCAGCAAGTTGATTGGAGTAGATGTAACCGGAGTCGCATCCATCTTTGGGGTGACAGTTGACGTGACAATATGCGGGCCGCTGGGCTGCTTGTGTTCCTGATCCGCTGCCTTCTTCGCCCCGAGCACACCACCAATGACACCTCCAATGCATCCTCCCACAAGCATTACCACCCCCACCAAAACGATCGTCCAAATGGGCAGCCCGCAGCAGGCTTTCTTTTTACCCTTTCTCTTCAACTTCTCTTCGAATGCCATGATTCCGGTTAGCGGAGGCTCTTCAGATTGTGAGTTACTTCGTGCACTCATCCGGTTTGGTTCCTCCAAAGGCACATTAGTTGATGTAACCTCCGACATGGGTGGACCTGCACGCTCATTGTGGAGGGTCTCGTCCGACGTGATGCCAGCATCATTGACGGGCGCAAACGTCCCCTCTACCTTGGGGACGGCATTTTCGGGATAGCGGGAGTAAGGTGGAAGCTGTTCTGTGTGTCCATCAGGGCCAATCAAATCCCCGACGTCATCATCTGCCCGACCGGGCGGTCGTTGGTATGCTTGATTGTGGCCGGGAAAGCCAAGGGGGACCATGGAGTTGTCCATCATAGGAGGTTCCAATATCGCATTGTCCATGGCACTGTCCAAGTCTTCCTCCGGGACCACATTCTGGGTGTACATCGCATACGGATGTTGCGGTCCACTGGCATCTTCCAACGGTTGGTCCACGGGGCGTACAGTTGATGCGGTCGCTACACTTGGGGAGCGACTGACACCGACCTGCGGGTACATCGCATACGGATGGCTGGGACCGGTTGCCCCAGTGTAAGGACTCATGGCCCGAACGGGTATCGAAAAGCGCGACGAGATACTCTGACTGCGAGCTGTGGTGGAAGGTGTAGTAGACGCGACGGAATTGCGATTCGCAAAGTCCACCCCCTTAGGAGGAAGACTCGACCGGTGCGGAGTTTCATCGAATGACACTCGTGCCTCATCCCCAAAAGGGTCCTCCGTCAGATCCGCATCGATGGGAATGGTGTTGTAGGTTTTCTGCTGCGATTGTTGCTGTTGAGGCACTGATCCGCGTAAGGTATTATAGGAATTGGTGGAAGAAATGGATGGACGTCGAGAAGTGAAGGTAGTGTGTTCAGAGTCAAGGGGTTCGAGTGAGTATTCATCGGAAAAGACGTTAGGATTGGAGGAGCGAGCCGAAAGCGAGCGACGATGCATTGACTCGACTTCGTTCACCGGGCTAAAGCGTGGCGTGGATCGTTGAGAGGATTGCGAGAAAGAGCGAGAATGGTCGGATGATAGACGCCCAGACATGGCGATGGACAGCCCTGTCGGGCTACCTATCTGATTTGGTCAACCTCTCAGGAGGAAACCGGGTCAGTCACCTGAGTGGACTGAGAACCGGGGAGAATGGGAGGCGCCGAAAAGAGCGACGAGGGGGAGGGAGAAAGGAGAGAACGGTCGGCGAAAGAATGATGAGAGGATGGGACAGTGAGTGCCTAAGGGACTGTCGAGATGGGACGAGCGAGAGAGATAGTCGAGAAGGCGAAATAAAAACGAACCGAGATGAGGTGGTAGAAAGTAGTGGTAATCGTGGTTAGGTTGGGAGGGTAGAAGGGAAAGTGGTGGTGGTGGTAGTTAGTGGTGATGAGAGTGGAGGTTGAATGAATGGGAGGAGGGAGGCCCGGGGAGCGGGCGAGGATGAGGTGAGACTACTAGTTACTCGTACCGACTCAGTACGTAGAAGAGGGCGTCCGGGCTGCCTGAGGAAGAAAAGGACCGTTCCCGACCGGGACTAGCGCGAGCTTTTCCCGGGCGAAACTGAAAAGTCACTCAATGACTGGGAACGAGCGAAAAGAGAAGGCAAAAAAAGTGGGTTTTTGGAGACAGTTCCAACTCCCAAGACGATCTCTGGTCGGGCTTAGGTTGGTCCTGGCTGCAAAAGTTGGAAATTTTGGTTGTACACAAAGTCAAGACAAAACACTTCATCGAGGATGAAGTACTGTACAGAGTACAGAGTACAGAAAACTATTTACAGAACGATTAACACACATACGCCTGTTTGCGACGATTGCTATTCTCATCCGGGGGGTGGTTCTATTATTATGAATTTCGGATGTCTCCTGTTTACTCAGAGCTGCTGCGCCTCACCACCGCAAGTACATGTACGGAGGAAATAAGTAAAATAACAACAGTGTTCGTACACAGCTTTTGCCTGTAACAGACTAAATGCCCAGTAGCTGCTCTGTATTGAAAACAAGTGGGCAAGTGGGCACTTCAAGTAAGGTACAAAACACCACTACTCAAAGGACCACTTGTAGTCTCACACTGGTGACGGGCAGGCAGAATGGCCCTAGGGCGATTGATACTCGGAAATACTCAGTACGTAGCAAGCTTGGATCGAATCGTTCAGCATTGATAACCCGACACATCATGGATTCTCGAAAGCCTTAACAGGTTGACATGAGGGAAGGTAGAAATTGAGTCGACCGAAGAGAAACATCTCCACTGCAGTGTCGTCAGAGGCGCTTTCACAAATCGACTGACAGGCACTTTCGAATGCTAGCGATTTGACTTTCCAACGGATAAAGATTTTATCTTTCCTTACACAGTGGACTTCACTTTTCGTCGAACAGCCCAGTTAAATGGAACCGCCAGGGACAAGAGATCCGTCCATCATCCCCTTTGGGCAACAATCGCCTGAACTCGGACGACTTCCATCTGGAATAATGGACGAGGGTAGGTTTGGGGGGGGGGGGGAATATCACACCCTAACCTGGCTATCGACCATTGTTCTGGATGGGGGAAGGGGGGCAAGAAGGCTTCCACTCAGCAGCAGCAGCAGCAGCAGCAGATGTGGTCTACTGTAGGATCAGGTTCAGGCTTCCAGCAACAAGGGATTGGTTTAAGGTGGAACCGCCAGAACCGTAGCCAATTCAGTTCCAAAAGATAGCGCAGTGCCTGGCACCGAAAAGTCTATCTGGCCGAATTCGGAAACGCGGGCGTGAACCCTTGATTGGCACTCAATGCTATGATCAGCGCACATTGCATCATGACCCTCTCCTTTCACAGCTGGATGGTTTTGGCCGGCCATTATATCACCTGGTATGAGAAAGCGGTTGCTTGTCTGTCCGTTTGCATGCTTGACCTGAGAACGGCCCATACTGGCCTTAGATTTGATCTCGTGACCGTTCGATTGATCCCTTCTACACGTGGCACTGTTGTTCTCCCTAGCCTGGGTAGAGATTAATTGTGGGCAGTGACTCGCTACCGTGCACAGGGTCTTATCGGGTGTGGCTTCAGGGCCAGAGAACGAACCAGGGCTCTGATGCTACGATTCAGCCAGCAACCACTAACCACTGTCTAGATGCGCGGGTACCTTTTTCAACAGCGAAAGAAAGAAAAGGGAAGGGGAGGAAACATTGGTAGACAGGGAAAACAACATACAGTCTAGACCTTGTCATTATAGCTGCGACAACAACCCAGAGATCCCTATCCCTGGCCCAACCGTTCAATGAAGAGACAATGAGCTAATATTGCCGAGCAGAGAAAGTCGAAGTATTTGCCTGGCCGTCGTTATAAAGTCGTTATAATAATGGCCCACAGGGCAGGCCTTTTTCTCCGCAGTCGTGGTTCTACTTTATAATGATCTAGGCCTTCCCTCATTGGGGCTAGATATTTGATGCGAATACTCCGTACTCCGCACTCGGGACCAAAGTCGCAATATCCACAACCGACAAGGGCAAGGCTCATCTGACTTCAGATGCAGAGACTCTGGGTCCGAACCCGCCGCTGCACATGTGCTTCTAGTGCTCATTTTGGCATTCTCTTAGAGAAAAGGGAAAGCGACCCCCGCAAGGCTGGAGCGCGATTTGGACAGACCGGTAGCCTGTCAGTACATGTGCCGACTTTTTGGGAGCCTAAAACCTCGCCAGAACTCAATTCAACTTATGTGCCTGTTCCAGAGGCACCATAGGAAGTTAAAGATCCTCGAGCTCGAGCTAGTCTTCAAGCTCAGCCGAGATTGGACCAACCAAATCGGAAGATAGAGGTAAACGATGGACGCGGTATGAAGCGGCTGTCGTTAGCAAAGCGATTCGGATGACAGCGTCTATGAGACTGAGCTTAAAACTGAATATATGTCACATTGACCATTCATGACTGTTTCGCTAGCTCGAGACTAAAGAAGAAGTTTAGTAGGTAGGTATATGCCACTGCCTTGCATGTTTAAATTCTTGAGATTCATGGCGATTGATATCAATGGTCGGAGAACACAGTCATGTGGATTACTCAATATATCAGACACTATTTGAACGCGGAGATCATCTATAGATTGGTATGAGTAGATTTCGGGGTCACCGCCGTGGCTGAATTGCTCACTAAGCGGGATTTTCGATTCCACTGTATGAGTAGCAAGTAAATTCGTCCATGGATTGACCGACAGGCATTATGCAAAAACTCTATCCTCCTATCAGACTGGCTGAAGGCTGGTCGTTCCTTCGATACAAAGTGCTAGTGCACCAAGGATACACCGCAACAGTGGATCGGACGGTGGAGACTCTCTGGTCAGACTTGGCCAGTCCCAATGTGCAGTCGGATAGGACCCAGGATATGTGACAACAATCCTCGACATGAATTCGGTACGTTTTACGCATGGATAAAGGAGACGAATTGGACAATGTCTATTGGAGTTTCCCAGACAGAGAGACAACGTGGCGGCGGCCCACCAGAAATGCATGTTACAACCCAGTTCAACTATTCGAACCCCATTAAAATGCTTCTGATTTCAGATGCCCTTTTCCAAGTATCCTGGATAATTGCGGGGAAGGATGGAGACACATCAGGTAAATCGAATGACACAGAGAGGGACGGTCTTACTATTTTTTTCCCTCGCGAATTCTGTCGGCACTTAAACTCATCCGTAATTAGAAGATGGTCATGGGACAAGCCTATATCGTCGAATTAGCGACAGATGTCGAAAATCGTATTTCTGCATGGCGTTCTATCATGCCCAGCCTGGTGTTCGGACCTGCCTACTTTAGGTGGATCGGACATAGGGCTGTATGTCTGCCCCTCATGGTCTGCCTCGGGCTGAACTCCCAGCCCATTCTAATTCAATCAGCCCACCACCGAGATCGGTCCAGATTACAATTGCTACTGGTTACCACATTAAAGGCTAGACAATCGCGATTGTTTCCAACCCACTAAGGCCCCCCCCGTACTCTCCTTCCGCAGATTCGCCGATCAAGCACCGAACAGTTGCTTTTGCATCATACTGGGTCCGGGGACCCAAAGGCCATAACCATCCAGGCTCACTGGAAGGCACCGGTGGTCCTCTTGCGCAAACAGGTCTATCTAGGCCTGGCTGTCTTCTGTCGCCCATCGAAACGTTCTCTCGGCTCTTAATGACTGCATGAGACAACCCATGAAAATGGCAATGCGTGGCCTGCGGAGTAAGTGTTCATCAAGCCGCTACTGCTATCGAATCCCACAGGCCGTATTGCCGCCGGGAAAGAAACTTTCGGCATCAAACGGATATATTTTCATTCAATGCGATATGCTTGGCACATATGTGTGGTAGGATAATATGATACGTTCATCCGAGGACAAGACTTTCTGTAGGGCCTGAAACGAAGGGGGGGGGCTTTCATCACGACGCATTTGACCGGCGCCAGTCCAGAACGCTCGGCCTCGCGCGAGAGCAAGGACTCTCCAATAATGCCACGCAAGTTCGATGATTCAAGTATGCAATAGAAGAAACCAGACCAATACCACAAACTTAGCTACGTGATGTAAGTTAGTGTACAGGGGCGGGGACTTCGTCAGCTGTGCTGAATCGGCCTATTGCCTAATCCCAGCCTGACATGACCCGTCAAGTCACATACCCTATCATCGTGAAGTCTGTATCTACAATCACGGCTGTCTCTTCAAGGCTAGAATATCAGATAATCTGACTGGTCCTTTCTGGCCCCAGCCTCCTGCTCCACTCTGAACTGCCGGCCGGACACGCAAGTACCAGGCCCATGCACGTCGGTCTAATTCGTCCCGGGCGAGACTGGAGGCCCAGGACTGGAAGACAATGTGAATGGCGCGTAGAAGATGCGCGAGACATTCCTCCTTTTCTGCTTCCAACAGGGAGGCATTCTTTGCGGCTGTCCTGCGTGAGGGTACGTCTTCATCAGAAGCCTTGGTGAATGCCTTATGCAAATATGATCGTGCTGAATCAGGAGTGAAGATGGGCAAAGGCTTGTCCACTTTCACATCCTGGTCTGAGCTCTGGGCTTTCCGCATGGCCTCCGTATCGATACCCCAGAGTGGCGGTGCCTTGTCTGATTCGTCCTGGGACACATGTCCCAAAACATCATCGGATACGACAGGAGCGTTCGCATCCGGCTCAGTGCCTTTATTCGGCGGCCGACCCTCTCTCGAGTCATAGTCCCATCTCTTCAACACCTTCACCTCTCTGCCCAAGACCCTCACCACCGGCTGGCCCTCTCCCCATCCTTCTTCTTCAGCGGAGGGTTCACTCTCAATGCCCAAGCTCACGGCTTTGGATCGACTGTTAGCACTTACCACAGCCTGAGCAAGACTCAGTCTGCTAGAAATCGGCTGCTCGGGCATTGTGTATCTTAACACGCACACAGCAAATGCAAGCACGAGTGGTGCTCGGTTCGTGATCAGGGTAATGTTGGACAGATCTTCTTCTGGAATGCTCGACTCGGGAAGAGCCAGCGCACATTCTGTGTCAAAGGGGGTGCTGGATTCAAGTGTGCGAGAAGGACCTTTGACTCTTTTTGAGGGAGCCGGGGTGTCTTCAGCAGATGAGCCTCGCTTTTTGCACACTCTCTTTGCTGCGTTCATGACTTGTTTGGCCAGCTTGTCATCCTTAAAGATGTTCTGGAGAACTTTGAGTTCTGATTTAGAGATCTGCTCAGGACTAGGCGACTATCAGATAGATTGCTATGTTTATATCCGGATCTCAGAACAGGTCATACGTTATTAGGCCGGCCTTCTGAAGTTCCATGACTTTACCCATTGCGGACGCAAGTGGCATTTTGGCATCCTGTGATAGGAAGCGAAGTAAAGATTGTACCTGAGCCGCCGCCATTGTAATCAAAATGTAATCGAAATGAAGAGTTCGATGCAACTTGAGCGGATGGAAACTTGCAGTATGCAGGATAAAGTGAGGCAAGATGCTTGGCTGAGGGTAGAGTGAACTTACTCATACTTCTTCCTTCGAAGCGTATTCAGTGCCTTAGGCAACAAACCAGCAGCCTCCCGCCTCCGCTCCGATCAGCTTCCACCCGCAGGTAAGGTAACTCCGCGCTTCATTGTCTCAACTTCCGTGGTCTCCGCAACAAGGAACCCTGCTGCGACCGCAGCCTCGTCACCATGTCGGACGACTCCAAATTGAAAGCCTTCCCCGACATCTCAGCCAAACTATCGGCTATCCCCAAGAAATCGCTGTTCGAGCGCCAGAAGGCCGAAGCCGAAGCCAAACGAGCCCGAGAGCAAGCCGAAACCGCGGCTGTTTACGAGGACTTTGTCAAGTCGTTCGAGGATGACTCGCACGGCGGTCCCGACAGACCCTCTGCCGATGGACGACTGAACCGCTTTCCGCACAAAAATCAAGGGTTTGCAGGTGGCCCTGGTAGACGGCACTTCACAGGCTCCGGTCCGCGCCTGAGCGGGCCTGGCACACTGGGACCCCCTCCGCCGTCGCTGTCGCGAAAGCGCAACCACGAAGGCTTCCCACCCGCACAACGGAACCGGGACACCGCGCAGGGGATCCTGGGCTTTGAAAATACTGGCCCGGGCCCGTCGGCTGCCGCGTCCGCGTTTCGCGCGTCTGACGACGAGGACGAGGCGACTGCCGATGCGAAGGAGGCGGAGAGGGCGGCGGCCAAACCAACGCTGTACTTGGCCTCATTGCCTCCTGGGACGTCCCCGTCGGTCATCAAATCGATCATCCCCTCGCTTCTGACGGTAGATAATGTCAGGATACTGCATTCGACCCTCCAACAGGCCCCGACCGATCGCAAATCGATCGCTGCCATCGTGACTCTTGCAAATGAGTCTGCCGCCTCGGATATCGATAGCACGGTCAGCGCTCTCCAGAACAAATACCTCGGCTGGGGATACTATCTGTCGATCTCGAGGCATCTGTCCTCTGCGGCTATTAGCTCCACAATGCCGGTGACTGTCAGTCAGTCCTCGACAAGCCCCCTTCCATTTGGGGCCAAGTCTACCCAGCCAGATATTCCCGGACGCTTGAATCGTGCTCCGCCTCCTGGGATGCACCGTGGTGGGTTTGCACCGCCAACGTCGTATAATCCTGCATTTGGGCGCAGCGGCCCGACAACACGGGTTGAGGTCAAAGCACCGTCAGACCTCAAGCAGCTGAGACTGATACATAAGACGCTGGAGAATTTACTGAGCTATGGTCCGGAGTTTGAGGCCTTGCTTATGAGCAGGCCGGAGGTTCAGAGGGATGATAAATGGGCCTGGATCTGGAACGCCCGGAGCGCTGGCGGTGTCTACTATCGGTGGAAGCTATGGGAAGTCTTGACCAACAGTCGACCTACTGGTGGTCGACGGGGCCGGTTTCAACCTCAAAGCCCATCACTTATCTTTGAGGGTGGTGCAAACTGGGTTCCGCCCGAGGCTCATATTAAGTTCGAGTACATTACCAACATGGATGAGTTCGTTACAGACGATGACTACGATTCGTCCGACGAAGAGATGTCGGACTACGAAGACGAGAGACGTGTGGCCGGGGGAGCACCGCCAGCGGAAGGACCGGGTGCTGCTAACGAGGGGTTGGGATACATGAACCCTCTTCAGAAGGCCAAATTGACCCACCTACTCGCCCGACTGCCAACCACTCATGCCAAGCTACGAAAAGGAGATGTTGCCCGTGTTACTGCTTTTGCCATTGAACATGCTGGGGCAGGGGCTGAGGAGGTTGTGGAAATGATTGTTTCCAATATCATCAAACCCTATGCCTTTACGGGGGCCAACCCGGACCGTGAAGTTGAACAAGGACTTGCTCGTAAGGAGCAATTTGGAGAATCCGGCAACGACAACACAGCCGAGGATGGGCGGACGGCCTCGAAAACTCTTGACACGTCCTCTGCTAAGCTGGTGGGTCTGTATCTCGTGTCAGACATCCTCTCTTCTTCTGCCACAAGTGGTGTGCGCCATGCCTGGCGATACAGACAGCTTTTCGAGTCGGCTCTGAAGACGCAGAAAGCATTCGAGCATCTTGGTAGATTGGAGAAAGACTTCGGCTGGGGTCGATTAAAAGCCGAAAAATGGAAGCGCAGCGTTGGCTCTCTTCTCAACTTATGGGAAGGTTGGTGCGTGTTTCCGCAGTCGAGCCAGGAGCAATTCGTCCAGATCTTCGAGAAGCCCCCCCTCACCGAAGAGGAACTGCGAGAGGAGAGAGAGAAGGCTGAAGCCGAACGAGCGGCGAGCGCGTTCTCTAAGAACAAAAACCGCTGGAAGGCAGTTGACGAGGATTCAGCTTCTGGAAAGTTCGATCCCAGTCGCGCTGCGGCAGCCGAACCGGATCGCATGGATGTCGACCAGGTCAAACATGAGTATGCAGCGGTGGAGACTCTAGACGAGGTGTCAATGAGCGACATTGACGGCGAGCCAATGGAGGACAGCGACCTGGATCTATCGGATGGTGAGCCATTGGAAGAAGACCCTTCTGAGGATGAGAGCGAGCCGAACAAACCACCGCCGGAGACAGCAGCTGAAGCGGCAGCCCAACCGCAACCGCAACCTCAGCCTCCAACGCGCAAACCACGGCCTAAAGCAGAGGATATGTTTGCAGACTCAGACTCGGAGTGATTATAGCATTCAACAAACAAGCGGATTACTACCAGTAAACAATGCTTCAGGGAAGCATGGACACGAATACTGTACAGACCGATCGAACAATGTATTGAGTAGCACCATTTACCATTCGAGGCCCGGATAAATGCCTGACAAAAGGTTAAGGCACCAATCTCCTGAATGGGTAAAGTGGGTTTGCCCCACAACCCCCTCGCGACGGAAAGACTTTCGGTGTTGATATCAACCTCGTCTCCTCCCCTCGTTTCTATCCCATTGTCCTATTACCCCCTCAGCCAGCTCTCTGTTTCTAGCCGCCTCCGTCGTCTTTGCAGACTCCCAACCGTCAAAATGTGTAAGTGAATTCCCTCTCTCCGCTATTCAACATGTCTTCTCCATTACTCATCCCCCCGCCAATGTTTGCTGCCCCTCCATGAGGCTCTGTCGGGAGAACCTCTCCATATTCGGCTGCCAATCTGCACCTCAAGTTGCCAGAAAAGAGACTAATGTGATGCGAACCGATTTCTAGCCGCCTTCACTGAAATTGCCCGTATGTGATTATGATGCTTCGATCTATCCTCGCAGAGCCCAGCTCCGCTGTCTCTCTCCGACACCACCGATGAACTTTCGGTCTAACCGCGGGCCAACAGAACAATTCGTCCAGTTCTACTACCAGACCTTCGACGCCGACCGCTCCTCCCTGGCCGGACTCTACGTATGTCCCGCGCATCTCTCTGCTCCAACGCAAGACGACTAACGCAATGGATCTTCGTCTCACAGCGCGACCACTCCATGCTCACCTTCGAGACCAGCTCGATCCAGGGTGTTTCCAGCATCGTTGAGAAGCTGACCGTGAGTTCCCCATAAGACACTCCTTGGAGAAGATGAAGGCCAGGTTGACTAACGCATTGCCATGTGCTTTGTCCCGTTCCGCAGAGCCTCCCCTTCCAGAAGGTCGTCCACAAGGTCAACACCCTCGACGCTCAGCCCTCCAGCCAGGATGGTAGCATCCTGGTCATGGTCACCGGTGCTCTCTTGGTATGACTACTCCTCCCGACCCACCCCATAGATGCTGTGCACATCAGCTCCCACGAACCCGCCGAATCCATCCCCCAAAAAATCTAACCAATTTTCAAACTGCACAGGTCGACGAGGAGCAGAACCCCATGAACTACACCCAGAGCTTCAACCTCATCCCCGAGAACGGCAGCTACTACGTCCAAAACGACATCTTCCGTCTGATCTACAACGCATAAATGGTTTCACTACTGTTTTGTTAAGTATAAAGCGTCGTCGCGCGGTGGGAAGGAAACGCGAGGGGGGGGGGGGGGGCATCAGGCCTGCGGCTTTTCGCGAACGGTTATTTTTTCCTCTTTTTCCTCCGCGAGGGGGGAAAAGGAAAGCTGGTGGTCATAGTCCGCAGATATATGCCCTTTTGAAACGAAGATAATGAATCATTCCAAATTTCTCGGGCTTTGAGGCGAAGAGTGCGAGAGGGGATCCGAGGGGCAGGTTTATCTTGCTTTGCAGCGCGCACACTCAATCAGTTTGGATTGCATGCTGCGGGTCGGTTTTGGGACATGCCCCCTTCTCCCCTGCGCGTCTCTTCGGGGAGAAGCTCTTTTTTTTTTACCCTTATAGTTCTCTTATAGTTGGTCTTGGTGTGTGCGGTGATACTGTGGTTCGTAATTGGGGAGGTGGAGGGGCAGATCTGGTACTTTCTTGGGTGGTGACCTTGTATTCGTGCTCTGTTTGTATTTCATGATGCCTAATGTGTAATGCGCTTGCTTCTGAGTCTAAGACCCGACTGCTCGGACAGACAAATATTACTAGGCGTATACAACATATGTATCCAAGCCAATGGAAATGAGGGTGTATAAACGCCTTTCAAGGAAAGCAGACCACCCAGAACCCCCCTCAAGAGGCCATTGTGATATAAAACCAAATAACCTTTTGAGATTTACATATATCATAGGATCCAAACCCCCCCTAGATCACACCCCGAGTGACACTTGCTGTTCTTTGAGGAGAGAACGAAAGCTTTCACCCCCCAAGAAGCGGCGTCTCCTCGGACGGCTGATCCCGATCCTGGATGTGGCCTTGGCCTTCTTCTCCATCTTCCGCTTCAACACCACGGCCCGGGCCCGGTCCACCATTAGCTGGATTCTTATTCGAGGCGTCCCCTTCATCGTCGTGGCCGTGGCCTTTGTCGGGACCCAGGTACTCGAACCACACGCCCAGCGCCAGCAGCGTCCCCTGCAGACACGCCGTGACGATCAGCACCCCCCAGGTACTCCATCCGGCCCGGCCCAACCGCGCCGCCAGGCTCCCCGCCCACACGAGACTGCCGGGCGTCTGGATGCACATCATCGGGATGCTGAGGCTGCCGACGCAGCGGAGGCGCAGCGTCGTGTAGATCTGCGGGAAGTACTGCACCGAGGCGAGGAGGGCGGCGAGCACGCCGCAGAAGTTGGACCAGGATTGGAGGGCCGCGGGCCGGCGGAGGCCCACGGCCAGGGTGGTGATGAGCATGACGAGGGCGTGGACGATGCAGATCCCTGCGACGGTGAGGGCCGTGCGATAGGTTGGGGTGGTCGGGCGGTGGTTCACGCCGTAGTGCTGGTGGCGGGGGAAGAAGAGGACGAAGAGGAAGAGGCTGGTTTGTGGTTGCGTGGGTTAGTTTATGCCCGTCCGTTAAGCGAACGGGGGGAGGGTGCTTGCTTACATTAGGAAGAAGCAGAGACATTGAGTGCCGACTTGGAGGATTCCTAGAATGGCGGAGAAGCAGCCGAGTCCGCTGATTTGCTTGCAGCACGACATGTCGTGGAGACTTTGTTGTTGGGAGACGACATTGGCGAGAGCGGACGAGCCGGAGGTCGTGCCTAGGAGGACGAAGTAGGGGGAGATTCCGAACGAGGATTTCAACGAGATGATCCGGATGTGCTGGGGGAGGTAGGAGAGCAGAATGCCGAAGACGATTAGACTGGATGGCTTGGGGTTAGAATCGTTGATTTGGTTGTGGCGGTCGTTATATTGGTAGGTATGAGGGGGAGAACGTACATGGAGAGGATGAAATTCTTGTAGTCGGGCGAATCCAGTTGCCCGCATTGTAGGTTGAGGGAGTCCATCTTGGTGAAAAAGAAGCCGATTCTAGGATCGTATGTGTAATGAGAAGGAGGCTGTTGACATGCAAGATGCTCGACGGGATGATGGGAGTTAGAGAGCGATGGGCGGTCTATGAGCCCGGTGCATAGGGGCAGGGAGTGCAGGTCGGGGGTCAATGAGACAGGAGAATTATTGGACTCTAAAACAGCATGTGTCGAACCAGCGCACACGCGTAGTAGAGAGAGTAGACAAATGAGAAGATAACGGATGACTTGTCACCGATCGAGTGCTCGAAGGGGTGAGTGACTGAGCATCTACAGGATGAATGCTTGAATGCTTGAATGGTTTCCTTATCGCCCACTGCATCTCCGCATTCTATCCCAAAACGGTAAGGTCTGTTTGGATATCCATAAGTAGCTAGTGGAAGATCATGTGCCTTGCAGTACGACTCCATGAAGAAGAACACGCTAACACCTCGAAGATCGAAGGAAGTAAGTACATGTAACTATATCATTCGCAGGTCATTGCTGACCCGGTACGACAAAGAAAAGTAAGTACTTCGTACTGGGAGCCACAATTAGCATACAGCTGAAAGCGCCCAGACGCCTCTGCCGACCGACCATGGGCCACCCATTCATCGATGACGCCAGCCGTCGACTGATGGACAGCTCCAGCAACCACATCACTACGTCACTCGGTGATCATCTCAGCGCCGCCTCCCTGATTCCATCCACAGCTCATTCTTCTCTCACAACAATAAATTTATCCTCATCCCTGGTCCTTAACTTCTTCAATTTTCTCTCATCAACGTCCGCGATCATTAACGAGAGTAAGTGGTTCAGCAAAGCTGCAAAGCCATAGAGGCAGCGATAAGCTAATCTTCAATCTCCTCCCGATAAGACTGATACGGCTATAATTTCGACCTTAATCACATTTGAGCCATAATGAAGCTTCATTTGGCTTTCTGCCTAGTCTTCGTACTGGCAACAGCTGAGGCTGTCGGTGCATCCAGCTGGTTCAGCAAGGCTGGTATGTTTAAGTCGAACACATTGGAGTTTACCTCGCCCGCTAATCCATTTCGACAGTATACAACAAATGGCACGAAACTGAGTTGGAAAGATGGCTTGCTGACCACGGTCCGTTATTGACACTTCCTGCGTTCTGGTGAGGTCAGTGCTGATGATGCTTTCAGATATTCCTTATCCCTCGCCTGCCGATCGCAAAGATCTCGAGAGCTTGGTGAAGACAAACTGGGATGCTAAGGTTCAGAAGCCTTTGGGACATGCTGTGGAACAATCTCCGGATCACTGGCACAACGCTAAGGAGTGGCTCTTTGACACGTACGTGTATAACGATAATACTCCCACGGCCTTAGTACTAACGCTCGTCCAGTTGGTCGGACTCCCAGCTCAAGGCCTTCCTTGATCGTCATGGCATTCCCGCTCCTCAGCCTCGCAAGCGTGACACTCTTCTCAAGGCTGTCCGCGAGAACTACGAAACCATTGCCCAAAAGCTTGGCGAAGCCGTTTCTTACCCTGGTAACTGGGTGTATGCTCAGTGGTCTGAGTCTGATTTGAAGGAGTGGCTCGATGAGCGTGGCTGGCCTGTTCCTCAACCCTCCACTCGTGACAAGCTCATCGCCACCGTTCGCCGTAACGCCCGACTGGCTGGACTGCAGGCTAAGGCCATTGCTGCTTCCGCCTCTGCTTCCGCCGACAAGGCTCAGGCTACTTTGAGTGAAGCTTTGTTCAGCGCTTGGTCCGACTCCGACTTGAAGAAGTTCCTTGATGAGCACGGTGTGAAGGTCCCTCAGGGCTCTAAGCGCAACGAGCTTGTAGCTCTGGCGAGGAAGCACCGAGCCTCTCTGGTCAGCCAGGCTTCTACTGCTGCTGCTACCGCTTCTGCAAGCCTCTCCTCCACTGCTAGTGAGTTTATCGGCGCCGCCACCACCAAGGCTGGCAACGAGTACGCCCGCGCCACCGACGCTGCTCAGTACAAGGGCCAGGAAGCCTTTGACTCTCTTATCGGGTCTTGGTCCGATTCTCGTCTCAAGGCATACCTTGATGCCCGCGGTGTTCCCGTGCCTCAAAATGGCAAGCGCGATGAGCTCCTGGCACAGGTCCGTCTGAACGCCCACAAGGCTGCCACTGGCTGGAGTGCCTGGACTTTCGACACCTGGGACACCGAGCACCTGAAGAAGTATCTCGCTTCCATGAATTCGAAGGCTGCCCACCAGGCCGACATTACCCGTGAAGAGCTCGTCAAGCAGGCTCAAGACACCTATGCACAGGCCTCCAAGGCTGGCGGCGACCAGCTGGCTTCTGCTACTTCTTACATGGCTCAGGCTACCGACGTCGCCAAGGACTCTGCTTTTGACCATTGGTCTCATTCCGACCTCAAGGCATACCTTGACTCGTATGGTATCCCCGTCTACCAAGGCTCCAGCATCAACGAGCTCAAGGCCGCGGCCCGCCGCAACGCTGAGTACTTCCGACAAGGAACCTCCACCCCTCAGGGTACCATCCTCGCCAAGCTCCAGGATAAGCTTTCGGACCTGTCCCAGTGGGTTTGGGAGCAGGTGAAGGTTGGAGCCGCAAGCGGCAGGGCCCACGGACAGGAGGCTGCTGAGAAGGCTTCTGAGGTCGCGAAGGAACAAGCCAAAACGCAGGGCTTCAAGGCCGCGGACAAGATGAAAACCAAGGGTGCTGAGGCTTCCGCGAGCCTGCGCAAGGAGTTGTAAAGTGTGATTTTCAGCAATCTGTGGGTGGATTACAAAGGAACTGGGGTATGATGGTGCTGGTGGGACATGATTTTATGACTTGACGTAATAGTTATTGGTTGGCAAATTAGTCTCGAAATTTACTTTATTTCCTCTTCTCAACATTTCTGCTTCTGTACTGATATGATACAGTCATTGTTTTCGAGGTTCACCCAGAGTTCTGTAGGAGAAAATTGGAGTATGACAAATTGAACCACCATAATATCATAATTCATCCAACCTACTGCCTGTCCGTCAATACCTTTTCACAGCACCCTGAATCCACGCAATCATTTCAACTCAATCCCAAACAAACCAGCCCTACAGTCCGAAAGCCTTCTGTCCATCCCCGCCCTATCTAAAGTATTCATTCCCCTCACCCACCCATACTTCATACACCTCCAAGACCCCCGATGACTCGACTTAAGCCCCCTCCTCCCCCTCCGCCACCAACTTCCCAACGACCAAGTACTTCTCCGAGAACCGCTCCTCCCACGACTGCAGATTCTCCAACTGGTCCGAGTCCAGGTCCTCCAACGTATCCAACGGACCCTTCAGGTCCTTGGTCAACATCTCCTCATCGAAGCTCTGGCACGCCAAGCCGCGGGACGCGTCCCGACCGGCGAAGTTCTCGTAGGGTCCGCCCTGTTGCCAATCCCACGAGTTAGCCTTGTCATAGAGGTGAAGCGTAATCGGATTTGGGACGTGATGGGAACGCCTACCGGTCCATAGAAGTTGCGGCCCGGGGTGACGTCGAAGACGCGGCCGCGCACGGCGAGGTAGACGGGTTGGTCGGCGGTGCCGTTGTAGGGGAGGAGCGTGGTCGGGGTGAAGGTGCGGAAGACGACGGGTGGGGGCGCTTTGGGGAGGGCGACGGGGGCCTTGGGACGCAGTTGCACGTAGACCAGGATGATGAAGAGGGTGAGAAGGATGAGGTTGACGGGGGAGGCGATTGTCATTCTTTGCGGGGAATGTTAGTTGGGGTTTGGTGGTGTGGGATGGGTGCAGTGTCTGTCAGCTTGGAGATGTTGAAGGGTTTACTGACACTTCGGCCGGTGGGGATGTTGTTGCTCCGTCTGTTGGTGGTGGGCGTTAGTGATTGAGGGGAGGACATGTTTAGGGGAAGAAGTACCTGGGCTGGACATTTTGGATGTGTGATTCTTGTGCTGATTGATGGTTACACGGATGAAGGTGTGGTTGTGTGGAGCTGAGAGTTGAAAGGGATTATTGAGCTGAGATGGATTGATGATGGTGATGATGATGGATGGTGGGAGTCGCCCGGTGTATGACGGCAATTGAGGGCAGAAGGGAACTGGAACCAATCAACGCCACAGCTTAGTGTGCGGAGAACGGAGCCGGAATCAATGACGGCGATTCGTGGAGGTCAAGGCGGTAAGCGCGGAAGCGCGATTCGGTTCCGTTGGATCGCGCTACTCTGGCTGATTCAGGTCCGTCCGATCATGCAGCAGTACAGTAGATTTATGATTGTTTGTCTACAGTACTTCCTAGGTGCAATTGTTTCCTCCTGTCACGCTGATGGTATGAATAAAGAATGAAACCTGATAATCGTGCTGCACGAGACCGTGGCTGATCGTTCTGCACCTTTCTGCAGCGGCTTCAATTATTGCAGCGATCCGCATTCCTGAGATTGCAACGGAGTTCGGAATGCGCTCGAGTCTCGAACCCCCCAGGCTTTCGGAGCTCCTATAATTAAACCCATTCATTCTGAAACAGTCACCCTCGCCCGCTTTGCCAATTTCTTTTGCTGCTGTCAGTCCACTAGTTCGTCATTTATTCTTAGACTAGCTCCGTCCGGGCTCTAACGGTCGACTTTCCAGACAAGCCCGGCCTGGGTTGGCATCGCAATTCCAAGAGGGGCCCTCAGTCAGTGACCTCCGCGGCTCCAGAAGACGCGGTTAATTGTCTGTCTGTGTGTTTGTGTTCTCTTCCCTTTCGATCTTTCACCCGCTTCTCATTCATTTCTGTCCCTCTTTCTTGTAACCTCTTTGATTAATTCTAGTGCCTGGTCGCCCGCCCCATAACAATTCGTCGAGGTTGGATCATCTATCTATGAATCTCTCTTTATCTTCCTTTGTCGTCTCCTTCAATTGTGGTGGACTGATCCTTTCTTGAATGACGTGCCGGCACGTCTGTCCCTTCGCGTACTAAGCCTGAACTTAGCTACCTGAATATTGGTCACATTGCTTATTCCATCTGACTCGACTGTTATACTCTTCTTGACTTATCTTCTTTTCTCAATCTTGATATTTCCTCCTGTTGAATCTGCTCCAACCCGACGTTGGCGCAAAGTGGTCTTATTGAACATCTCGCCCAAGCTTTTGGTCTCGCATCATTGAGACTTGACCATCAAATTATCTGATTCACAAGCTATAGCATCCGCCCAAAAGGTCTGTAGTCAAGATGTGGGGAAAAATGCACTTTCATCGATCGCGAAAGCCGGTCATTGGAAATCCCACCTTGATCGACAAAACTCTAGACGATAGTGTTTATCAGTCCTGGTCTCGCGGCCCAGGCATGCAGAGCACCGACAACCGTTCCCTGACTTCTCGAGGGTATGTCGAAATAGTCGAGTTGTGATCGCATCTCCCTGCTCCAGAGTATACTTGACTTGCTAACCCGTTCTAGCAACCAAACGGACTCACTCAATCCCGCGCAGCACCCGTACTCAGGCCGCAGGGTCGTATCTTCATCCAAGGCCCCGAGCATCGCCCCGAGCATCGCATCCGATGATCTTTTCGATCACCGCTCGGTCAGCTTAACAGATCTTCCATTGCAGACAGGTATCCTCGGTCACGACCTCAGTCGGCCTGAGAGTGTTGAGATCTCTCCTCCCGACTCACCTGTTTCCTCGAGTCGGCCACCGCTTAGTCGCGGTAGCTCCCGCGTCTCCCCCATAGAGGACGAATCCAGGCCGGACCTTGATAGCGACCCGATGGAGAAAAAGGAGAACACCAGGTTCACCAGTCAGCTGCCCGTGCGCAAAATCGGATACTCCCCAGTGGATCAGTCTCACGCAGCGAACTCGTCCTCGAGAGGATACGCAAGTAGGCAGGACAACTTTTCAAGGGGCTCGACGTCAAGCCATTCTGGCATGTTTGGGCAGCAAGCCTCCGGCAATGCTTCGGTCCGCACCGACATGTCAGCCACACCCCCGTCATCGCACGGGTCGAATGGTCTTGGGTGGAACACGCAAAGTGCCCGGAAACCTCCCTCGGAGCCACGCATTCGCGAGCCTTGGAAGGGACCTAGTGGACGATCGCCAATAGTGCAGCCTATCCAAGAACGACCCAGAGCGAACACGATCCGTAGCTATGATCAAATGAGAGCACGCAACGGCTCAGCAGCCTCCGACCTCGCGGCTTGTGGAATGGTTCCGACCGTGGTGACAACAATCACAGCCGGAGATCATCGACCTACAGACAAGCATTATGGCACAACCAGGAGCAATCCCCGTGCTAGCACACCCGAGGCAACCACCCCGACCGTTCGCAGCACCAACCGCGTCCCACCTCGGGTCGAGCTTCCAGAGCCGGAACCAGACTGGGAATCCTCGTTAATGGATCTTAAGCTGACTACTCACGAAATGGCTGAAGAACCCACAAGCCGCTTTAGCGCAACCACTTACGAACCTACCGAAATAGGCAGCTCGATAAGTAGCAGGCGTAACAGCATTGATACTGTCGCGGACACTGCATCTGTGTCCACAGAGTGTCAGCCCTCTATCATGTCTCGGAGCCGACCCGTGCCGAGCACAGTGGCTCCCGGGAAGAAGCCGACAAGAAAGCCCACGCCATCCCAGGCCACTGTGGAGGCGGAAGCGGTCCAAGAACCCACAGCTATCACTCCCCAGCAACAAAATCAAAACCGGATTGATGCGCTTGAAGCCCGCAAAGAGAATCTTGCGCGTCGCAAGGCCAATATTAATACGATCATCTATGAGTTGACTCAAGTTATTCAGCCGAGTTCCGTCGCCTATGACATAGCCGCTCGGGATGAGGTGAAGAAAACGGTCGCCAGTCTCGAAAGTGAACTTGCAGAAATCAAGCGAGAGGAGCATGAAATCGGCGTGAAGCTACTCAAGGCTTGGAAGAAGCGTGATGAGCTCGATTGCTATGGGGGCGGCTCCGGCCTTTGGGTCAGCCGGGTGACCAGTTGAAGGTCGATCAAAACATTCGTTTTCATTGCATCCCAATCCGCTCATGACAGCGTGTTGGGCCTGGGTGCTTCTGCCCCATCTTTTAATATACTTTCTTTACGATCATGTGGGTTGGGCGAGGTTTGTTGGTTGCATTATGCCTTTCAGCGTTGCGTTTACCATTCGGCAGCATACAGCGGGTTTCACTTCTACTTCTTTCGTTCTAGCAAAGCATGGTAGACAGTCTTTCTTTGATCTGTGCAGTGCGCGATGATACCCTGTTTGCTTGTTGAGAGACGCGAATCTCAAGTCTGGGGCCAGTTTCCGTGCAGATAGATTCCCCAGCGTTGAAGAACTGAATCACGCTTTGAGGTATTTATTGAATAGATTATCAGTGGATGAAGAGTGCGCTCAGCGTTGTAAATGCATCAAGTAAAGTTGCTCAAAGAGAATAGCGCTCAATGCCAAGCGACTCCACCACCTTGCGCTTGTGGGTCATGGCTCGTGGTATATCATGAATGACTGATCTCAATGCTCCAGAGGGTGATTTATTTCTTGCCCGACTTCTTGATGCCCTGGGCACCAGTGTTAAGGGGACCCTTGCCCTTGGCCTTCTCCATCAGATCCTTCTTAGCCTTGGCATCTGAATGAAGATAATGCAGTCAGTGAGATGCTCGCGACCATGATTTAGCCACCGCTGGTGTTGAAAGGCAGCAATAAGTAAACATACCGGCTCTCTGCTTCTCCTTGAAAGCGAGATCATCGTCATCGAGATCCTTCTGGGCCTTCTTGGCCTGCTTGAGGGGCTTGACCTTGCCACCTAGACGAAAAAGTCGTGTTAGAACGGCGGATGGACAATATTCAAACAGCCTGATCAGCGCATACCTTCTCTGCTTTGACCACCCATTGTGCGATATTGGTTATGAAGAGGTTTTGTGAAAGGAGAGTAGATGAGGGCAAGAATGCGTAGTCGCGCAAAGAGGAAAAGGAGGGGAAACGCAGGCGCAAAAAATCGTGTCTTATCAGCGATTGTCCCGCGGGGAGCCGCTAGTCTGGATCCAGCTAGGCGCCGAAATCTCTCCCTCCCTCTTCCATCGGTCACCGCCTCGGCACCAGCTCATCCCATCCATGATCTCAACAACCTGCTTTCCCCGTCTACCTCGTTTCTGTTACTACCGCGTGCGATCTCATCGCCCCCAGCTACTTATTCGACAAATCCAACCAGCCTCGCGTGAATATCTTGAACCGGAGACAGTAGCAAAGTTTCTCACCAGTATCTTTTGCATATTTTCCTCAAAACATAAAGCCAAAAAAAACTTCACCACACTGTCTCAGGCTTGCTCAAGTTGGCAAGGGCCGTGGCATCTTCAGCCGGTTGGACTTTCTCAATATATCCTCCCACCTTGACGCGTCATCCAAAACCATTCTTGGCTAACCGGAAGTTTTTTTTCTCTCTTCTCTGAAGCTGCGCGAAAGGGCCGATTTTTGTCTATCTAGGCACACTCCGTTGAGAGAAGATATCTCTCGGCAGACGCAAAATGGCATCACGCAGGTCGAGGTCTCCATCGACCCCTTCTGAGGGTGAGATCATCGAATCAGGTTCAGAGACGAAGGCAACTACGTCGCAACTTCCTCTTAATGGCAACCGCGTTGACCGTCCCCCCAGAGCTAGTTCACCCGCCCCCAGATCTCCAGCATCGTTGAGCAGATCGCCCCGCCACCGGAGGTCGAGGACCAGGACCAGATCGCCCTCCCGTACCCGGTCCCGCTCCCCCTACCGCGACCACAGAGGCTACAAACGTCGCCGGGACGATGACTATGATCGTGACTATGACTATGACGACCGACGATCCCGATACGAACCCTCCCGCCGCGTCAGGTCCCGATACGATGATAGCCGTTACGCGGGCCGCGGCGGTCAATCCCACCGACGACCCCGGCCCTACTACGACTACGATCGGGAAGAGAATTTTGGCGAGGGGCTTCGATACAGCGACGAGTCGGATCGTCGCCGGGAGAAGCGCGCCCGCACCCGCAGCCGGTCGCCGTTCCGCGAAGTGCGGAAACCCAAGCAATACTCTGGGGATGAGTGGGAGACCCAGCGAGGTGATAGCGTCGCGTCTCGCGACCGTAGAAGGAAGGCTTCTATTGAACAGTCAGTGAGCGAGCGGGGGAAAGCTCCAGTCGTCGCTCGGGATTTACAATCACATGCTGAAACTCAGAAACCTCAGGTGCAGCAAGCTTCTGGCACCCCTAGTGTTCGTCTTGAGAGGTATGCTCATATGATCGGTTCTTGTCGCGCAGGAACATACTCACAGCTCTGCAGCGTGAATAATGCACAGACTACCGGAACCCAGGAAGAGCAACAGCCTGAGGAACCGGTCGACGAAGCAGCCCAACTGGAAGCGCGCCGCAAACGGCGTGAAGCTATCCGTGCGAAATACCGTGGTCGAGCTACGCCATTGCGTCTGCAGGCTCTCCACCTTGGAGGCGAGAGGGATTCGACGACCCCAAGCGCCGAAACCGTCGCTTCGGCGGCCTCGAATGGCACTCCTTCCGGTAAGTCAGAATGGCATTGCAGCCGCGTACAGTAATCTGACTAGCTATAGATGCAGTCCCACAGTCGGCTCCTCAGACGCCCGACGACAGTCTGGATTCAATTCCTGACTTCAAGGTTGACAAGGATGACAGTTCGCTTAACAATGGTGCACCTGTAGATGGTGCTGATAAAGATGAATTGTCCGCAGCCGACTACGATCCTACCATGGACATGAGAGCCGAGAAGGAAAAGCACGATACTCACAGCTCGACTGAGGATGTTTCTGCGGCGGCGTATGACGAAACGCAAACGACCAAGCAGGACATCCTGCTCCCTGATGCCGAGCAGCCTCGACCCCAACCCAAGGCGAAAGATCCCTACGATATGTTCGCAGAGGACGATGATGACGACATGTTTGCGGAAGATACGCATGACACCGCGCAGCCTACGCATGCTTCGGCGATGTCCGCCATCCCGCAGCCCAAAGAGCTGGATGTCAGTATGCTGGATAACTGGGACGATCCGGAGGGCTATTACAACGTGCGTCTCGGTGAGTTGATCAACGGACGGTATCATGTACAGCAGAACCTTGGGAAGGGTATGTTTTCGTCTGTCGTGCGCGCGTCCGATTCCAAGACTGGCGGACTGGTTGCGATCAAGATCATCCGACAAAACGATACGATGCGGAAGGCGGGTATGAAGGAGATTGGCATTCTGGAGCAACTACGCGAGGCGGACCCCGACGACAAGAAACATGTCATCCGGTTCGAGCGGTATTTCGAACACAAGGGTCACTTGTGCATGGTGTTCGAAAACCTTGGCATGAACCTGCGGGAACTCGTGAACAAGAAGGGCCGCGACACGGGGCTGAATCTTACGGCCATCCGAGTCTATGCCCAGCAGATATTCCTGGGACTCAGCCTGTTCCGGAAGTGCAATATCCTTCACGCCGATCTGAAGCCGGACAACCTTCTAGTCAATGAGAACTACAATGTTCTCAAGGTTTGTGACCTGGGGTCGGCATCGCCCACGACGGAGAACGAGATAACGCCATACTTGGTCAGTCGGTTCTACCGGGCGCCGGAGATCATTTTGGGGATACCGTACGATCACGCCATTGATGTGTGGTCGATTGGCTGCACGCTATTCGAGATCGCTACGGGGAAGATCCTCTTTACGGGGCGAAACAACAATCAGATGCTACGGTCGATCATGGAATGCCGTGGCAAATACCCCCCGAAGCTGCTCCGGCGCGGGTCGCTGACGCACCTGCACTTTGATGAGATGCTGAATTTCCACAGCCAGGAGGAGGACAAGGTCACAGGTCGTCCGGTGATCCGGGTGGTGGATTTCAAGAAGCCGACGCGCGATTTGCGGACGCGGCTGATGGGCAAGGGGACCCGTGGGATGACGGAGAGTGAGACGAAGGAGCTGACGTTGTTTCTGGACCTGCTGGAACGCTGCCTGAACCTCAATCCGGAGAAACGGTGCACGCCGACGGAGGCGTTGCGACATCCGTTCATCTCGCGCCCGAAGGTGTAGGTTTTTACGGAAATGGAGAGGGTTTGTACATATTATGTCATAGTGGTACACTTGCGCACATATCCGTAGTACTTCGCAGTAATATTTTGAGTTAACCACAGCACGGCAGCGTTGATGAGTATCAAACGAGTTCTACTGAGCCTGTAAGATCTGAAGATTTGCCAATGGGGATGGAGCCGACGATCCTGTCTTAGATTGAGTACAGTACCTAGTCGGTAGGTGGATGACTCAAATGGCCGTTTTCATCCAGTCCAGTCCAGTGCCACCGGCGTCTTTTGAGGCGTACGTATGGCCCCAGCGGGCTCAGCAGCCACCCACCTGGCAAACTGCGGGTCACTCCCGTTGTGGAGGGGTTGACGTTGACGTTGTGGTATGGTGTGGGCTGTCTGGGTCGGAGGGAGCCTGGTGGTCGTGGGGTCGTGGTGGTGGCAACGAGGCAAAAGGCTGGGCTGGGCTGGGCTGGGGAGCGGGGAAAGTTTTGCCAGCCACCAGCCACCGCCTCCCACCACCGCCACCTACCGCCGTCATCATCATCATCATCATCATCATCATTATTGATCGCATCAGCATCAGCATCAGCATTAGCAATTTATTGAGGTGTCTCTGGTCGGGAGATGGATGGATCCGACCCGAGGGTCTCACTGCATGGTCTTGAGGTCTGGATTACTGTACTCCATATTCCATGGTCCAGGTAGTAGGTAGAGTGTACTGTACCGGGTACTCTACGGTCACTGTAGGTGGGTAATAGCTTTTACCCTGGGGTCGGATGAAGAAGGGTCGGGTGATGTGATTGATTGGATGCGTGTGGTGGGCGTAGAAGAGCCAGAAGGTGGCTGATGCGATCGATATACTGGATTCTGGAAAGGGTGGGATGCCGTACGGTGCCGTGCCGTGGGAAGCCGTAAGGCTGTGTCTGTGTCTGTGTTTATGTTGAGGTTGAAAAGCTGGGCTGGGCTGTGCTGTGCAAACGGAATAGGGGTGTTATGGTTATGGCACTGGGCATGAAATGGTGTACTGTGCGTAAGCGCAAACGTACTGCACATGGGTTTGAGGGTGGTTAGGGTAGGTAGGGGGGTGTTGAGCGTTGAGGCTCGGATCTATGTTTGTGCTGTTGGCGTACAGTATGGACTAGGTCTGGTTGTTCTCTCTCATAGATATACTCTGTATCTGTTGCTGTGTTGGTGTTTGATAACTGTATAAGGGGATTGTGTCCCGTGTTGGTGATTGATATCTATCTATCTATCTGAGGGGATTGTGCAGCTACGTACTATTGTTTTTGGGGGATGAGTTCCAAGGTTATCGGTATAAGTTCTTAGCAGATGAGTTTAAGATGCATTAAAAGAAGAGGGATGATGTGAGATGAAGTGTGGTTCTTGCTCAAGGCTGCAAGGGCTACATTGTTACTTATCGTCGATAAGTTAATTCCTTCCTGCGGGGATCCGTATTTCAATCGGAAGTGGACCCCCGAAACAGGGAGTGGAAATCTTCATAAAGGACAAAAGGGTTGATCAAGGAAACTGAGCCGAATCGACCTGTGTACTGTTGGACTGTACGAGTCCAAATTTGAGGTCAGCAAACAAGCAAGCAAGCAAGCAAGCAAATAGCTTCGAAGTTGGAACAAAGAAGAGAGATCATTGTTTGGGGTTGGGGCTGAGAATTTGCATCTGGTCGGCGGTCCTGTATCCAACCGGGTGAAAACAGTTGGACCGGAGGATTGATGATATCATGTTGCGTTGGGGTTGATGTAGGGGGGTTTCGGTAGAGGGCAGGGGATGTGGATATGGGGTGTGATGTGAGGTGTTCTATACTGAGTATACTGAGGACTCGGATGTTTATTCTGTGGGGTGGGCTTTTTGGTTTGATCTATTGTGTATAGAACATTGTGGGATATAGTTATATAGCAGAGGAGAATAGTACCATGCTTATCAGACTGTGTTTATAGCAGTGATAGTCACCACTTACAATTGGAGTACTGCTACTCAGTATAAGTTGCTGAGTACCATACAACCATACAATTACCGAGCATGTCGAATGACGAGACTACCGGTACTCCGTAGACTGCCTACAGCCAATCCTCCATAGGAGGACTCTCAACCCCCCCCCCCCCTTTTCCCCCCCTCATGCAGTGCAGTGCAGTAGTTCAGGCCCCCAATAAGCATACCATCGCCTGCAAGTGCGTGTGTACTGTACTTGTGCTGTGCAGGTTCGCCTCCCCTCCCTCCCACATCCCAATGGGTCTGTTTGCAGCCCGCCAGCATATACTATGTATGTGCGAGTATGTACTCCGTACATGGCCCGGCATATTACTGGTAGTCTACGTCCTCCGTTATGCGCTCACGAACCCGCCTGTGTGTCTGTTTGCACACATACATCCCGAAAGGGTGGTGGGATTTTGAGGCGAAGAGAGAGAGGGAGGGAGGGTTCGTCACGGGATGAGCGAATTTACTCTACCCAAGTAGACAAACAGCGTGGTCAAGCGCGGAGCTTTTCCCTACTGTCTGGTCAACCTCTGCAGTAGACACCAGTAAGCAGTAGGCAGTCAGCAGTAAGGCTCTCTATTCTTCGATTGAGTTCGGAACGGGATTGTTCCTCTTGTACTCATAGGATCATAGCCCAATTGGGAATTCTCCGAGCTGACGAAAGGATGGAATGGATACATCGGGTGTCTCGTCTTTTCTTTCTGCTTACTTCTCGGGGTTGATGATGCTGATTAGAGGAGGAAGGTCTGGAGGGTTATGGAGTAGGTTCGGGGGGGAGGGTAATTGAGCAGTGGTTGGTTCTAGCCTTGATTGGATTTTTTTTTTTTTAAGTAGGTGTATAAGGGGCAGAGGCAGAGAGGAGAGGGAAGTCTGGAACTGCTGGATTTGATGATCAAGTGAGATTGGAAGTGACTTGCTGCCAGGTTTCGAGGTTCAAGGTTGCTGGCCCGTGCAACCGACGACAGCTTCCGGCCTGAGCCCTGCCCTGCCCTGCCCTGCTTTCTTTGCTTTGCTGCTACGAGTACTCCAGGCTGTGGGCGGCACTCACTGCATCCATAACTGCAGCGGGACAACCCAACGTGGCGGCAGAGCAACCAATCATCAGCCGCTGAGCCAGTCATCCGAGCCACTAGTCCCCATCTGGACGAACCGCCCTGTCATTGGCCTGATCTCCATTGCCTCACTTTCGGATCGATTTTCTGAGGTGTAGGTTTGGCCATCATGGATCCTTTCCCTGGCCATTCGCATGGCAATTCACTGTCATCCACCACAGAAGACTTTCCAACTGCTAAGGAATAGAGTTGGGTTGGAACGGTTGAACACCCACCACAACCACCACAACAGTGGTCGGCAGAGTATAGCATCATCGGATTGAAAAGACGGTGTGGGTTAGTCAGTAGTCCTCCACTGTCGAAGATCGTTGTCGCGAGTCCGGTGTCAACAGGGCACGCCCTCCCGCCTGTCCCCTGTTTGATTCGACGTTTCGTATAGATACCCGTCTCAACTGAGTAACCCAACCCACCCGGAAGGAGGGGAGCGAGGACAGAGGGGGAGTACTGTAGAAGAGAGGATGAGCTGGCACTACCTCTAAAGACTAACAGAGTCTATACCTATACACCAAAAGTCACAGTGTCCAGTCTAAGTTCTACTGTACCGACCACCACTGACAACAACAAACTGTCACGTCCATCTAACCATCTAACCCTCCGCCCCAGATCGGTCGTGCGTGCCCTGTCAACAACACGAAACAATGGACCAGCACTCGGGAGGACGCCTGGTGGGGCTTTCCCTCAATTTTAGTCCGAGTAAATTGATGGGTACCTAGGAATGAGGTTGCTTCTTCCTGCTCATATGTGTAAATCCCTCCAGCCTCATTCTGACCACTCGAACTCAGCCAACGGGGCGCACGAGAGAGAGATGAACAACGAGTGACAAAGTGACGAGTGGGAAGAGTGAGAGATCCTTTGTGCTAGTTGCTAGCTTGGGAACTGGGTTTTCCGTCTGTATCTCCCGGGGGGAGGCTGGAACCAGGGTCAGGATCTTGGTCTGTTGCTCGAACCGTCGCAGGCCATATGGGGAGAATTGCCGCCCCGTTCCAATCCAGCAATCCCGGGGAGGAACTGGTGTGTGAGTGTGGCAGTTTCGGGTGCCAATGAGACAGACGACTCCAGAGGCGGCGGATTTATTCATCCCAGACTCTCATTCCCAGTTGCATCCCGCGTGCAGCCAATGGGCTTCCAGGGGGCGCGAGCCTGTCGAAACCTTTCCCATCGATTCCGCCCGGGCCAGGCTGGGAAGTGGATTTGTGGTGTGGGTATTGTGGATTGTGCATGATGTGAGTGGAGCCCTTTCTTGATTATTTTGGGAAGAATTAATAAATCTGGGTAGTGGTGGTGGTGGTGGTGGTGGTGGTCCAAAGGAACAAGACCTGTCACACCTACACCGCCTCTGCAGTTGAAGATGTGAGATGTGATGTTTTGATGATGCGGATGCTGATGATGTTGTGATTGTCATTGTGGTTGTTGTGGTTATTGATGTTCTGCTTCTGCTTCAAGCTATAGCTACTGCAGAGTAGTGATTGTAAATGTAGGTTCGTGGCTGTAGAAGATATACTTCTACTCCGGAGTGGTGGTTGATTCTTTGTTGTGGTTCCCTTTCTATTGTCTGTCTGCTGACCTCTTCTTCCTTTCCTTTCCTTTCCTTCCTTTCTTCCTTTCTTCCTTTGCTTCCTTCCTAAGGTTTCCTTCCCTCCCTTCCGGCTCTGTCCGCAGTCTGCACACCACACTTTCCCACTTTCCCACTGTCAAAGCATTCTACCTCTTACGTAGGAGAGGCCAGAAAGAGGGCAGGGTGGAATGGGAAATCGTGGATCCGCCCAGGCTCAGCTCTTTCATATTATTGTTCGCCTCCCTCGGACCCCCATCCAGTCGCCATCCAGTCTAAGCATCATACATTGTTAGTCGAGTGGAGTGTGGGGTTCTTAGTTCCAGACTGTAACCCGTGTGATTCGCCTGGGAACCGCTGCAGTGGCTCTGGCCACGAGTCTAAACTCCGTGGAATTATTAAGTGGAAGTGAATTAATTCAACACCTCCTTATCATCACCCGCCCATCTTTTACCCTTTCGTCTAGTCCTATGCCCACGCATAGTATTTCCTAGTATTTATTCCATCGGCCCTGGTTTATTTTTACTATTTTACTGTTTTACTGTTTTATTGTCTTACTGATCTACTTGGTCTGACTACTTATTTTTACCTACCGACCTACCCTACTCTACTTTCCCCGTATTGATTCTCCCGTCCCTCCCTCTCCTTTTCCCTCGCCCGTTCCCCCCTCCTCTTCCTCTCTCTCCCTCTCCCTCTCTCTGTGTCCGCCCGCCTGTCTGTCTGTGTCTGGTTCCGCGTCTGTTTTAGTCTCTGTCCCTCCCCCTTTCGAACGGTGTATCAGCTTCTTGTTTCTTCTTTCCTTCTATACTTATATAGGTGGTGCACATTATCCTCCCCCCTCCCCCCCCTCTCCACCCCTTTCCCTTGCGCATAACACAACAACACACATCCACATCCCTTCCACTCTTCCTTCGCCTTCCTCGCCTTACTCGCCCATCATTAACAGTCCGTCCATCTGGCCCCCATCGGAACTACAAATCTTCTGGATCGCATCCCTGGCTGTACAACACTTCCCTCCGCTCGGATTGCCACTGGTTTCTTACGCCTCCCCCCACTAATAGAGAGGCAAAAAAACAAAAAGGACAAGGAAATTAATATTCCACTCGCACCTCGACACACCATCCACTGGACATTCACCCCTAGGATCTTGATTGCCCTGCCTATTTGATCAACCTCCAGATTCCATTCCTTCAATGGCTCCCTGAAGTATCTCAACTGGACAGAAAGGCGACTACTCCCTCTTTTCCGTTCCTCTGGACCTTGGATAATTTGACCTGACCTGAACCACCGTCCCGCCACCCGGATTTTGGACCCCAGGATTTATATCAACGATCCCTTACTGTGTCTCTGCCTCCTTCGCCCTTCACTTTACTCTGACAGAGACTCGTGTGTCTTGACACCAGTCTCTTCAACCTCCCGTTTCAATGCTCATGCTTCCCCCTTCCCCCGTCTACGGCATGTATCCCCCCATGCTGCCCACTCCGCCCCCCACTCCGCCCGCTCGCTGCTATGCTCCGGAAGACCGCTTGGGACTGCTCCTGGCCAACCGGCTGGAGCTCACCAGCATCCTGGGCGTAGGCGCCTATGGTGTGGTCTACACGGCCGTCGACATTCATACCAATGTTCTGTATGCTGTCAAGGCCCTCAACAAGTCCGGACTGGATGCTCGCCAGCTCAAGTTCCAGCAGCGGGAGATCAAGCTGCACCACATGGCCAGCCAGCACCCCAACGTGGTCTCCTTGGTGCGCATCATGGACTCGGTTGACTGCACCTATGTGGTCATCGAGTTTTGCCCCGAGGGGGACCTGTTCTCCAGCATCACTGAAAAGGGCAACTTCGTGGGCAACGACCTGCTGGTCAAGCGCGTGTTCCTGCAAATCCTGGATGCGGTCCACTTCTGCCACTCGATTGGAATCTACCACAGGGATCTGAAGCCGGAGAACATCCTGGTGACAGACCAGGGCCTGACGGTCAAGCTGGCGGACTTTGGTCTGGCGACCACCGACTATCTGACATCCGACTTTGGTTGCGGGTCAACCTTCTACATGTCTCCAGGTATGTTCGGGTTCTAAGTTCTTTTTTTGTCTTTAGTCTAGTCTGGGTAGTCTAGGGAGACCAGACCAAGGATTGTCATGGACATCAGCTGACCGATCTTAGAATGTCAGCAACCAAATTCGCGATCGGTGACGTGCTACGAATCAGCGCCCAACGATGTGTGGAGTCTCGGGGTCATTCTGGTAAACTTGACGACCGGCCGCAATCCGTGGAAGCGGGCCTCGATTGAGGACTCGACATTCCGCGCATATCTCAAGGATCCGTACTTCCTCAAGTCCATCCTGCCCCTGTCCGACGAAATGATTTGTATTCTCAGCCGTATCTTTGAGTGCGACCCTTCCAAGCGGATTACCATCCCGGAGCTCCGCCAGGTGATCATGGATTGCCCGCGGTTCACCATGAATCCTGTTATCCCCTGGTCCAGCGGCCCCGTTGACTATATCAACCCTGTTCCCGGGCCCATGGACACGTTCAACACGCAATCTTCCGTTTCCTCTGGATCCTCCCAGTACTCTGACTTCTCGAACTCAGTGGTCTCCAGTGCTTCATCCTACACGGAAGGCTATCCCGACATGGACAGTGTCTCGTCGATGTCTTCTGTGGGATTCGAGACTGAAGACTGCAAGGACTTCTACCCGTCGGAGCCGATCCAGGCTCCTGAAGGACACGTCATTCCTTTCAGTTTGATTCCTGTTTATTGAATCAAGCCAAATAAAAAACAAACAAAACAAACAAAAGCACTTTACGCAGGTCACGATTAACGGCATTTGACATCCGTCTCTACTGGATACTGTTCGACTGTATTTTTCCACAGGATAGCCAGGAGATTTTTCGACACTACATTCTTTGGACATACGCCTCCTTCCGGATTGCATTTATTATACCCTATTTGTTCGGCATAAATTGCCTTTTATTTGTCAGCTACAGCCTTGGGCTTGGGGAGCGGTGGCCGTGGATTGTTTTAATAATGGTTATACTAGGGTGGAATTCTGCTCGGGTTGACTCGGGTATACACTTGTTGGCGTTGAATTGGGCGATGGCATTGAAAGAAAAGAAAATACCCCGGATTTGTTGGAGTTGCCTTATGATATTATACATAATTACATAGTCTGAGTTGATTCGACTTAGCAGTTTGGTTTTTTTTTTTTTTCCCACTACTTGGCAACGACTTGGCCTTACACTTGACAACATTATGATGGATATACTTCTACTTGTACTTTTACTTGGTCCTGTTGCAACTGTTGAGATAGGTAGATGCTGGCTTGTGTTGCTGCTGAGGTCATCGTGATGTTAGGCAACTGCAATTCGAGACAACTTGATGTTGCCTACATGTACATTAGTGTATCGAATGCGACTTCGGACTTGCACTACATTCAGCATAGTTCCAGGTAATCTCCCTAGGAAGTCTGCTTCAGCATAAGTATACTTGGCAGAATACATGGCCATATTGCATATGCTCCTTTCTACATTTAAGTAAGTTAAAAGGCTCTTCCTCTGTGAGTTATTACTCTTATTCACCAATGAACTAGAGACAGACTGCACTCGACTTTGCCCGTCTGCAGACTAACATGTGATATATATACTATAGCATCTAGGAATATAGACGACCCCAGCCCACACATTCCTCCCACTATCTACAGATACAGTTCACCCCCCTCTGCTCCCATCCCCAACCACCCAACCACCCATAGGAAATCTACATATTCCGGCCCCCCGTGACCCTGATAGTCTCCCCCGTCACATAAGCAAACAACGGACTCGCCACCGCCAACACCACCCGCGCCGCCTCCTCCGCGCTCGCCGGCCGGCCCAGGGGGATGTCGGGATATTGTCCGTCCCCTTCTTTATCTGAAGAACCTCCCCGACGAGCAGCCAACTGCCCCCCCGGAATCCCCAGCGCCACCCGCTCCCCGGCCGCCGTGACCATCACCGCCCCGTCCTCCTTGGGCGAGGTTAGTCGGGTCCGCACGTGCCCGAACGCCACCGTGTTGGCGCGCACCCCGAACCCCGGCCCCCATTCCTTGGCGATCGTTTTTGTCAGGCCGATTATGGCTGCTTTGGCGGTGCTGTAGTTTGCTTGGCCTCTGCTTTACTATCAGTATTGAGTTGGGTTTTTTTTGGGTTGGGGGGGGGCGGAGGGAGGGCTCACGGATTCCCGTGCACCCCACTCGTCGAACTGATATTCACAATACACCGGGCGTCGCCGTCGTGCACGCGGAAGAACGGGGCCGCGGCGCGCACGAGCTGGAAGGGCGCTGTCGCGTGGATCGTGAGCATGGTCGTGAATTGGTGGGTGGTCATCTGCCTTCTGTTTAATCTCCTTTTGGTCTGGAACCGGGGTGAACTGGCGTGAAGGGTCAAGCTGGTAAGGGTCGGGCTGGTAGGGCTGGCTCACCTTATGAATCACCCCATCCCACGTGAACCCCGCGTTATTGACGAGGATGTGGATCTTGCCGTTGCCGAACGCGGCCGTCTGGCGGATTAGCGCGGTGATGTAGGTTTCGTCGGTGAGGTCGCCGGGGATGGCGAGGGCGGTGTTGGGGCCGTGCTGGGTGTTGAGGGCTTGGGCGAGGGCGTGGGATTAGCTTTCTTTTTCTTTCGGGGGGGCCTAGCTGTGGGTTGATATTGCTTCGGGGGGGGGGATAGGGATAGGGATAGGATAGGTAGGGCAAGCCTAATGATCAAGGCAGGGTGAATCCCCCTCTCCGGTCACGTGTAGCTAGGGCAAAACAGCACACTCACCCCCATCCACATCTGCAATGACCACGCGCGCCCCCTCCCTTGCGAACAGCCGGGCGGTTTCGGCGCCGATGCCCTGCGCGGCGCCCGTGATGAGGGCGGTCTGGTGGGCCAGGAGACCCTGGGGGTAGGTGAGCTGGGTGGTGAGCTGGGTGAGGCGGTTCATCGTGCTGTTGGGTGGTGGATGTTGGGTGGTATGTATCTAGATAGATAGGAGGTGGAGTATATGTGTGGAGTGTGGTTGTGCGGGGAACGGCTGTGCCGAGGCTTCGGTCTATCCCTCCATCCCCACTACTACCCGAGAACCGTTCTTTCGGATATACTATGGCATAGCGATAAGCTTGCGATGCGGATAATGAGATCTTTACGTGGGCGTGGATATTGATGCAAACGTGATGGGCACTTCTTAACAACGACAACTACCACATCGACAGACTAGACGAGACATAAGACGGACTTGGACAGAAAGTGACCTGGCCTGAAAGTTCATCAGGGTCACACATTGCTTACGTTGTTACAATCCCAGGTAGTATCCTCCCACCACCCCCCTCGTGTTCACTTGTAGCACTCTTCTCATCTCCCTTAGTCCGTTCGTCGCTCGTGTTGAATTTTCACCACGAACACAATTGGATTAAACCCCCCACCCCCCCAAAACCACTTTCAATTGTACTACACCACACCACGCTCACCACAACGCGACGAAGGATGGGTATCACTAACTGTCCGCACAACTACGCCCGATGGTGCCTCTCACAGCACCCACAACCACACACACAGCCCTCCCCCGCCAGCGCCAGCAGAAACGCCTCCACCGTCGCATCGTGTCCCGCCAGGATCTGCAGGATCAAATCCCCGTTCTCGAACGCCGCCGTCAGATCCGCCGCCCCGGCCCCTGCTCCAGGACTGCTGCTGCTGCTGCTGACGAACAGCTCCTGCCGACTCACCTCCGTCGTCTCCTGCAGCAGGCCCACCACCGCCCGGCACTGCAGCAGTCGGCCGCGCAGCAGATACCGCCGGATGCGGCGCGTCTCGTCCACCGCGATCTCGTACTCGCCGTAGCCCACGAGCACCCCGGGGTCGTTGGTCGGTGACGTGGACGTGGTAGTTGATGCTGTAGCAGCAGCAGCTGCGGCTGCGGCTGCTGCGGTGGTGGTGGTGGTTGCCGTCAGTGACAGCTCGTAGGGAATGGCAAAGTCGAACAGCTGTACGGTAAAGTCCACGATCGAGGCGGCGTACAGCAAATGCGTGCCGTCCTTGGGACAGCTGGGGCACTGCAGGAAGAGGCGGCACGTCGCCAGCGCGGTCGCGATGGCCTGCAAAAGCAAGTCCAGCCGTGGGGAGTGCAGATGCACCATCGTCGTCACGGAGCGCAGGCGGTTCATGTGGAATACCAGCGCGTCGCCGCAGTCGCACGTCGGTTGCATGTGCACCGCCAGCGGGCAGCTGGTAAATCCCTTGGTGATGAACTCCTTCTGCAGGAAGGTTGGCGACATGGACGATGTGGCGGTGGAGGTCGTCGTAGCGGTCGTCGGCTGGTCGAAGATGGACAGCTGCGGCGGCGGAGGAGGAGGAGGAGGAGGCGGTGGTGGTGGTGGCACGTACCCCCTCGGCGGCGGACCATCCATGCAAGACGGATGAGGAGGACGAGGATACCCGAGGTGCTGCGCTGCAGCAGCGCACGACTCGTCCAGTAGCGAGGAGACATCCGTCATGCTGACTCCCTGGCTATCGGGGCTGTTGGAATGGCTGGGCTGGCTGGTATCCTGGGGACTCTTTGCGTAGCAATCGAAAAGAACCTCGTTAGCCTTGACTCCCACCTCCAAAAGCACACACCTAGTAAAGAGGCAGATACTCACCGGCTCTTCCAAAATTCCATCAACCACCGAAGGCGGCTGACTCGATACAAACGGCTCAATATAATTCCACCCGCCATGGAGATTCCCACCACCGCCGCCTCCTCTTGAAATCATCGGCTTCCGCTGCTCCACATGCTGATGCTGATTCTGTTGCTGATGCTGGAGCTGTAACTGCCCTAATTTCCGTAACGTAGCCCGATTCTTACTCCCCTTGGGTTTCCCAGACCGATTGGCGACGCGATACCGACAGGTCAACCCATGCCGCAGACATCGGATGCACGCCGGCGAGGACGAGGACGACGCCGAGGAAGCCTCCTTGCCCCCCGACACGGACAGGTTGCATTTCACCTTGGACTGGCGGCAGTTCTCGCACGCAGCCCGGAGTTTCGGGGTGTTGTCGAGAAGGTTGGTGGTGATGGCGCCGGGACCGGGGGTGCGAGGGGCGTGATGATCGGTCTTGATAACCGAGTGTGTTTCGGCCAGCATCTATACTTTTTATTCTCTCCCCGTTGATTAGGGAGAGGGGGGCTTGTTTGTTTAGGGGAGTGCGAGCGCGCGTGTAGCTGTGGTTTTGTGTGACCTCCCTTCTTTGATAATTGTGAAAGGAGGTAGTGGTGGTGGTGGTAGTGGTGGCGGTGTGGTGTCGAGTACTTCCGGGTTAGGGTTGTTGTTGTTTGTTGATTGTTGGTTTCATTCGCGAGTTTTAGAAATAAAAGGATCACAACAATGATGATAGAAAACCATGTACAACAGACATACATATACACACAATACAGGCAGGGCACACGTTGGCCGAAGTCGATAAGGGGAAGCCTGCAACCTCTCAAACCGAAAGTTGTAGAAACAAGATCGGGGAGAGATCACCTTTTTATCTATACTTCAGATGCGTTTCCGAGCACGAAAAGTATAATATAAGCTTGAATCCATCAGCAGCAGCGCACGCGCATTCTTATTTATATCAACCACCCACAGTGCTAGTCTTCATCCACCCTTTCTCCGAATGCTGGGCTCCCCGTTGCTTGGTTTGCTGGCTGGTGGTTGCTGGCGGCTGCTTGACTGGGGCTGACTGACTGACGGACTGACGGACTGAACTAAATCGAATCGAACTGACTGGTTGGGTGCGGGCTGGGCCAAACCTGCAAGACTTGACCTTCGTATCGCGGAATCCCTAAATGAACGGTAAGCGCAGATGAAGTCAGCCGTCGTGACACCCTAAATCATTCCATCTGATCCACCTCGCATGGGGGAGGGGAGGTGGAAGGGGAAGAAGAAAAGCCGGGGGCCCTCGCGAATCTGAGCGTCGTCGTGGTTTTCTGGACATGTGTGTCCAACTGACCTGCCCGTAGATTAATTTTTGCTTCGACATTCTTTATCACTTTACTTGTCGGAAAAGAAAATACACAATTCAAAAAGAAAAGAAAAAAGAAATCAATCTGCCAGATTCGATTTCGGCCATCGCTGCTTGGCTACCAGAACGGCCCAACCATCTCCCTCGTCTATTTTCTAACGTAAGAGGTCCAACAAGATAATAAGCTCAAGTGCAACATTGCCATTCGTTTGTTTGTTCGGCAGTCCCAGTCGGTGGGAGGGAATCTCTCACTCCCTCCCCCAACTTTAACGCAGATTCTGCTTGAAGCCAGATATCCAAACTGTAAGGCGAAAAAAGGCTATTATCTCTGACGTAGCATCCAATAGCACTGGAAAAGAAAATTCGGTATGCAAGCCAGCGCATACCATGTGAGCTGTAAAACTGATGGCGGGATTCGTCTGCCCGGTTTGAAATGTCGCAGGGCAAGCGGTGAACATCTGAATATGAATGGAAACCCTTAAGAAATTCAACAGTGATAGAATGTTGCAATGGTCAGCAAAACAATATGGAAATTGAATTGTTAGACAAATGTCTCGTATCCCGTGTTTTGACGTCAGCGTCTATTTCCCAGCCCATCTTTGCGATTAATGTAAGAGAAAACAAAAAAAAAAATAAGTCCAGTATGGCTAGATTTCCGAAGATGGTGACCAGCGAAAGACCCCTTGTGCGATCCTCGATCCCCTTGCCGGCGAATCACCGTCAGCTCCACGCACAGTGGGCGGCGAACCCGCTGTGTCTGTAATCAAACGCCTTCAGCAACCCGGTCAGATGAGCAATTGCGGCGCAGACCACCAGCACGTGAAAAATCTGATGGGAGCTTCCCCACAGATCGAATTGGCCGGGTCGCAAGCGTTCGGGGACCCGAGCCGCATAGATCGCTGCCCCCAGGATGTACAGGAGACCCTGGAGCACCAGCCAGCCGAGTCCGATCTGGCGTGTCATCTGCCCCAGCCCGTAAAGGCGTAATCCGTGGATCACGGGAAACACCGCTGACAGGCCCATGCCGACAAACATCGCCGCCCGGAACGGTCGCCAGCCTGGCGTCCGGAATTGGGGGAAGATCGAGACGACGACGCAGCCAAGGCCAATCGTGCAGATCATACTCCAGTAGAGCCGTTGCAGCGCGGGCTGACAGTAGAAGCCAAAGTACACGCTGGGGATGAAACTGCCCACTGTCAGCCCGACAATGCCCGCGTAGTCGAACGCGTTCCCAATGCGCGCCACCACGGGCGAGTGGTTCGAGATCGTGTGGTAGGTGGCAGACATGCCCAGGCAAAAGGCCGCCCCGGCGAAGAAGCAGCCGAAGACGATCACGTCCGCCTGCGTCGCAGTCTCATACCGGGGGGCTAGTGCCTGATACAGTGCGAAAGCCGCCGGCACCACCAGCAACGACGGCAGCAAGTGCGTGTAGATGTTGACCGTTTCGTTGTGAAGATAGGTCAGGGACTGGAAGGAACCAAGGAAGGAAGCCGAGGCCGGCCGATACCCGCTATGGATGTGCTGGTTGTCGCGCTGCCAATGGGGGAGCTCATCCCAGTGAAGCAGCTTCTTGAGGACTTTGGGAGGCTGTTCCAGCACAGCAGCTGCCACAGCAGCAGGCTGACTCGTGCCCGGGACCTTCTCTTGGCCGTGAGTGGAGTGACGCTGGCGAGTGGCCATCTTCTTCACATGCAGCCTGCGGATACTGTATGTAGGTATGTATGTACAATGACAGATTGAATCCGGGATTGTTTCAATTCTGTCGACGAGGTCGGCGAGGGAAGAAGGGGACCGGTGACCCTGAACTGGATATCCAAAGTGGCACGCTTTCAAGACCAGATAGACCAGGAGTGACCGGAACCCCCGCTGAAATCACCGCGACCCAAAAAAGAGGTTGATGAGGACAAGAAAGTCGGTTGGGACTCAGCGGAAACTCGCCGCTTCCTCGGGCATTGTTGGGGGCAAAGGACACAAAAACAAACAGCGCAAACCCTGCAAACACGACCGATAGCATACAGTAGCTTCATCCCCACTCCGTCTCCCTCTTCCCTTAGGACGTCCATCCAACCCAGCTCTACACAACTCGTCGCTCCTTTGAATATGACTAGTCGAGCGCCCCCGATGCGCAAAACTTCCGGGAGTCGTCTGAAGCCCGTGGCAGACTCCTTGGAGACGGTGGGCTTCGTATCGAAAGGAGACCGGAAGTACGCCTGCGCGCCTTCCAACCCCCACCTCCGGCCCGGGCTGACATGTGCAGATTGCTAGACCACAAAGCTCAAAAGGATTATTATAAAAGTATTGTTGAGAGATACATGGAGTTCTGCGCCCTTCATGCGAAGGATTTGGACGCCGCCTGGACATCCCTCCCCAGGAGCGCTTCGGATGACGCAACCAAGAACCCGCCTGCTTCCTTACCCACGAAACCAACAGGAACATCCACTCCTTCGGCAGCATCAGAGTTATCTACTATCCTTCTCTCCCTCAGAAAGCTCCGGGAGGCCGTCCTGGCCACTGCATCCGCAATCCCTATCATCTTCTCCCAACAGGTTCACCTCTTCTCCGTTAAGATTGCCATCCGAGCCCAACATCCTCCATCGTATACTCCCTCCCTCCGATACCTCATGGAAAAGCTCCATACTTCGTCGCATCCACTTCCAGACTCTGATCTGAAGGAGGTTATATCGTACCAAATCCTTGATTCTGCTTGCCGCCAACAGGACCTGGGTGCCGCTTATGAGCTGCGTGCGCGGGCGCGCAGCCAATATGCATTCAATTCGTCCATGGTCGATGAAATCCTGCATGCGCTAGCACATGATGACTGGGTTATATTTTGGCGGATTCGTAGGGGAGTAGATTCCAACATCCGCGCCGTCCTCAACTGGGCTGAGGAACGGGTTCGAAGGCACGCGCTCAAAGCTGTGGGTAAAGCTTATCTCAATGCCGATAGCAAGTGGATCACAGAAGGTTGTACCGGAGAGAAGGAGTTGACGTGGGAGAAGCTGGTGGAATTGGAGAAGCTCGGATGGGAGAAAGAGGGTGATAGGATTATCATTAGGAGGCCCAAGCAGAAACCCCCCGTCAATCTGACCCCCATCAAGGAGGCTTTGTGATGGTGAATGGCCGAAAATATCATTATATCATTACATCATAGCTTGGCGAATTATGATCGAGGTTATGGCGTCTGCCTTAGGGTAAGATGTCTGCATTGGTTTGGCCAAAGCACACGGACAAGGAGGATGGGCTGGAATGGTTCTTCAATACTGTGCGGCCTTGGTCATCGATTGACATCAGATCTTGAAATCTGCACTTGGCCGGTCCAAGTTCAGGACTCCCGTCACTGGTTGTTTGGCTACAATCTCGACAAGATCTGTTTTGAGCTTCCCAGCCTTCTCAGAGCACAGCTCGTAGATAGTCGATAAGTTGTACACGAGGCTCGGGAATGAATGCTCTTTTTGTATCAAGGATTCGAGAACTTCACGAGCCTAGAGCCATAGTCAGCAGTGTTGCTAATCCATCAGTATCGCGCACTATGGAGCTTACCTCATTCAGTCGACCAATGTACAACAAGCAGACTGCTAGGTTCTGCTGGATAATGGCTTCGTCGGGTCTCTGGCGCTCGCGCTCCAGAAGACTGCGCCATTCGTCGGCTGCCGTGCCATGTTGGCCCTCAGCCATACTGAAGAGGGCGTTGAAGAAGCCCTGGTCCTTTTCACTGCCCTCGCTGCACAATTGCCTGGCACTGTCGAGATCGCCAATCAACACCAACAGGAGCGCCTTTCTTGCGTTGCGGGTTTCATTGTCTACGCCTGCCATGCGCAAACTGTAGAGTGCCTGTTTGGCCGCATTGAGGTCCCCCATCTCGATCAGTGCATTGACGTTCCGGATCCCCAAGTCCGCGAGTCGTTCCCTCCAGACTTGCCGCTCCGCTGGATCAAGATCTGGCCGCAAGATCTCCCTTCTTGCCTCCAGGCCAATCTCATAAAGACCGCCAATGCCTCTTCGAGAGTCGCCGAACCCTATACTTTGAAGTCGCACGGCTAAGGCCCTCAGAGGCCATGGCACAATATGGCGAGGGTAGCTCGAACCTTCGGCGGATTTATCAGGCAATGGCTCCACGAAGTAGAAAGCAGAGGTCAAATCTTCGAGGGCTTTAGACTCCTGTGCGGCAATGATGGTGTTCCCGGAAAGCTGTAGGCATGCTAACCGGGTGTAAAACAAAGCAAAGATGCGTTTGATGTCTGTGGGTTTGATCAGAGAAGACCCCAATATCGTTCCACTGAGATGAGCTGCCAGCAAGAAATGACCCTCCGCTAGGAGTTTCTCCAGTTTTTGAAGAGTCGCAGATAATGACTCGCTGGAGGCTGGAACGATGAATTCGGAGCGCAATGCATGTGGGATGTCCAGCTGTGATAGGGAGTGATAGATTTCATAGCGAAGAAGGAAGGAAAGGTCTTTCTCCACGGTAGGTGGCAGATCATCAGGAGCAAGTGGATCCAGATTCTCAAAGGAAACACCAAAGAGCTCGGTTTGAGCTGCTGGGTTGGATTGCCTTAAAGTGTTCACCGTCTCGGTGCCGAGTGGACTGGCTTCATCAGTGTTTTCCTTGACATTGACAGAGTACATCGGTCTGCTTACTCGTCTATCTGGTCAAGTGGACCCTTCGTCGTGCTACGAGGTCGGGAAGCTATCATACATTAGCGGGAGACGACCACTACTTCATCGGAGACTCCTTACATCTAGAAGCATTGCGGCTATGCCTGGAAACGGCTTCCATGTCTAGGGTCAAATGTGGGGGATGTAGAGGCTGAGGAGTATGTACAGCAGAGCATATACCGTACCGAGCACCAGGCAGCAAGCTATGTCGCAATCAAATGAAAAGACTCGCGGTGTAGAGGTCGATGCAAAGCAATAATTGCAGAGGATGTTATGTTGTCTGAAAGGCGGAGCGTCGACCATGGGTGGCAGTAATGCGGGAGCCCCGATTCTGCCCCGGTTCTGCCTTGGCGGTGAGGAGGTCGGTCGGATAGACAAACTGGCCCCATCAACAACTGTCAATCGCGCTACAATCTACTCCGTACCCCAACCTAGGATACTGCAGATCAGCATAAAAGAGATCTATCTGATATCGCACAACCGGTCACTCTTACTTTCATACATCTCCGTTACCACACAAAGCCCTTTCCAATCCACAAATTCCTTGAACCGCCACCATGACTCTCGCTGAGGAGTTCCGCACTAGAAACTTCAGTATGGACCTGCATTGTTTACACTTCGACTGATTCAAAGACAGGAAGAGCTAACACACTATCGCTTAGGTATCTACGGTCAATGGTATGTCGCGATTCTTCTGTTCAGTGAATTCTGTGCAATTCAACCGGCTGGGAGCTTCGCAACTACAATGCAAGCAAAAGAATAACTGCTGCCTGGCCCCCCAGCATGGACGCTTGGCGCCTCCGTGATGGGAGCTCATTCAATACCCGTCTGCCAAAGCGAAAAGCGCACGCAGCACCTGAAGAGCCTTATCGAAGCACTATACACGAGGGAGAGTTGGGAGACGTTGAATCGCAGGCCACAAGCGCTAACTTGATCTAAATTAGGACGGGTGTTGTGTGCATCATCCTATGCTTGGCGCTCGGTATCGCCAATATCTTCAGTTTCAATGCGGTGATCATCATTTTCAGCGTCCTGTGTCTGTGAGTGGCTTGGTATCCCGCAACTGGAAGCTGGAGCTCACATATGTTGTACAGTGTTTCCGCCTTCATTCTCATCTTCACCGAAGTACCTTTCCTGCTCCGAATCTGCCCGACCTCGCCGAAATTCGATGAATTCATCCGCAAGTTCACAACCAACTGGATGCGTGCTGGCATGTACGCCGTCATGAGTGTGGTGCAGTTTCTCAGCCTACTCAAGTATGCCACCAGCTTGATTGCTGCGGCTGTTGTTCTCCTGATTGCGGCCATTTTCTATGCGCTCGCGGCCGTGAAGAGTCAAGAGTTTGTCAGCAGTAAGACACTGGGTGGCCAAGGACTTGCGCAGATGATTGTGTAGAGGCCGTAGGCTTTTGCGCAAAAGGGAGAAACCAACTTTTACAATGTGAGCATTTTCCCGGGGTCAATGACAAGCTGATTCTAACGAGCGACTTCAATCAGTCAGAAAGTCAAAAATGGAATGCATGGCTTCTTGGGCTGGAGTTGAGTGTGATGCGATGATGAGCCGATATCGCGTTCTTGCTACGACGGAGGGGCTATGCACTCCTTCGCTTTGCTTTGCTTTGCTCTGCTTTGCTTTTCGTGAAACTTTATTCAGCTTCGCTGGAGTCTAGGTTGCTGCTGATGCTTTGCTTGAGCCATTCCTAATACCTTGCCTTGTATCGGTCTGCTTTGTTTTTGGTATCTGTTACCTCGTTGAGGTCTTTCGTGATGAGTTTAGATGAAACCTGTAACAACTAGTAGTTCACCGCAGCGAATACCCTACCAACCAGCATCCTGGCGATGAATATGAAATTTGCTATTTCCAAGGCCAATCGCATGTGCTCCGGGAAGTCTGTCACCCAGGAAAAAGTGGACTAAGCTTGGGCTACCATCTCTCGAACCGCAGCCCTGGCCCTGAACAGTGCCTGCCCGGCTGTTTGCATTCCCCCTTGACCACCCGGACGGCATCATGCATGGCATGAATATAACCACGGGAACTGCGAAAGCCGGACTTCAGCCACTCAATCAGCTTGGTTTCAGCACCATCTCCAGCCTTAAACTTTTATCGAGTTCGAGCAATGCTCCTTCGGGTAGCTTTGTTCGTCGTGCACAACTACTTCCATCATCACATTCCAGCCGCGCACATATCCCCATACTAGTGCAAACAACAACCCCAAGTTTCTTCCAGTTTTCAACAATGGATGCCTAAGGGACAACTTGGAAGAGCACTAGTGCATCCTCAGGGGCAATTTCGATACGTCATGTCTCTCCCCTCTTCCCCTCGTTTACCCCTCCGTTTTCCTCATCGAGTAAGAGAAGAGGAGGTCTTCCAATTTACCCCGCGCTTCCGGCGGCGCGGTTGGCGTCTGTGCTGACTTCATACATGCATGTACGGGGGCGAACAAGTGGGAATGATCAGAGCACGGTCAATGGGATCTTCTAGGCAGCGTGTCTCTCTCTCTCTCTGCGCAAGACTCTCCTTCTTTGTCCAGCTAGGCAACTACAGTACAGTAATCAACCCTACCGATGATTTACAGACTGAGCCCCCCTATCATGTGTTGTCCGTAGCTTCGACATAAAGAACGCAGGGACCACGCTGATTGGGCCCTGGGATCGGGGATCTTCAAGTCATCACCTGGAGCTGAGGTCTTCGCTGGTAGGGCAGTGGGGGGCGCGGATTGTCTGTGTGGATGCAGTGCCTAGAAACTAGACATTCTCCCTCGTGGCCTTTTTTTTCTTGCATACGGGGTACTTGGCGCTGATAGCTGCGTATCGGAATGCTCGGGAGCTTAGGAGGGGGGGAAGGGGTGTGATATTATGTATGTAGTTTAATGTGCTGTGCGGTACAAAGCGGAGAGTCAGGTCGGATCTGGTGATATGTTGATAATTTGTTGTTGGAGTAGGCATCTAGGCGCATTCTTGGAAGGTGGGGTTCAGCTATTGTCTGTTCTGAATTGACTTTGATGTAATAATCCATGGGGTAGAGTGGCCTGGATGCTGGTGTGTGTTTTTGGAGAATACTATAGTTACAAACTTCTTGTTGTTTCTAGAATGATACCTTTATCATCGTATGAACTCGATAAGAAGCTACACATATTAATTGGATCCAGTCAGTACTAATCGCGCAGCGTTTGTTTATCAGAACCAAAAAGCCGCCTATCGCAAACGCCCAGGATGATACCCCGTGGACGATAAGCGAAACGGCGGCGATGGGCTTCATGATGCAATCATGATGTGGGGCCGGTTGAGTCCAGGCTGTTCACCGCCTCGGGGCTGGTGGGGTTCTGGTTGAGGGGGGCTACGGAGGATGTGGCCAGTCACATCCAAGTCGATACAATCACCTTGGATGCGATACGAAGTACGGAGTACTGTACAGTTTTTACTCTGTAATTCCAGTAGTTCCTCATTTTGTCTCGGCG